ACATGAAACATTAGGAATATGTCCTTAGAATCGAACATAGGTCGCTCTTTCTGTTCTGCTAATGCTATTGCTTTGACATGTACATGTAAATTTATATACGCAGCTGACGGTAACACGAAATGGGGTACATATCGACTTATGATTTGAGTAAAGAACGTAATACTTTGTTCCGGATAATCAGCTTAATTGCCAGTTAATTTCTGGTCAGTGTGGTTCATGTACATCTTTTTATTGTTGTAATGTGGTATGTAGTACTTATATTGACATAAGTAGTATATGACGCGGATCAGGAATGTAATGTCTGGTAGCAGAAGATGGGAGAAGATCAAGAAAGGAAGAGCGGGAATAGAATGCAATTTCTATGAAAATCCAAGGACAACGAAGTCTGAAGCATTTTGAAACAATTGGTGAACATTTTGCAAATTAACGATTTGTTAAATGGTTCTCGGATTTTATTGAGATGCTCTGTAATTTTGTGCTAAGTACATTCGATTGTTCCCACCCGTGTTCTTGTTCTCTACAGTAACATCATCATTGAATTCAGCTTGACGGGATGTAGGTTTCTTGACTGATGTGCTTTATTTAGGCGCTTTATCTTTAGACTTTTGCACTTGGGTTGGTGATTTAGGTGGTGTGACACCTAGATAGTGACTTTCAGACAATTGTCGACTGAAAGTGGTCAGAGCTAGTAGAAATTTGTCTTACTTATTTAACTTATCAGCAGGGCTTTTATTTACTATCCCTTGATCACTTTGCCAACTTGTTTTCGAAAAAAGTGTATGTTCTACAAATTACTAATGCGATGCAGTTTTCAAATATTTTTCACGTGTGAATGAGTTGCGTTTTTCTAATTTATTACAGGAAACTCCAGGATCTTTGATTCTAACTCGATATAAATGCTCCTCAGTAAACCGCAGGTATTCGTAATAATCCTAAGATTCCGTACATTGTCAAGTTTCTTAGGAAAATGATCAGGTTTATTTAGTTTCCTTACTGTATTAGGGGCTTGAAGTTATTTTCGTACATTTGGAAACATTTCGCGAAAACAGAGAATAATATCTTCAAAGAAGGTTTGGAAATTGTTTCAGTTGATTATTATTTTGATGACTTATTTACAACTGGTCATATTTATGGAGACTAAGACTAAATCTTCACTATCCAGATGTGTTCTGTAATACTTCAACCTTTTCGGTTACCTTATGCTGTTGAATAGCTGGTCGTATATGAACGAAGCCCTTGTATTAACCAATAATATTTCCTTTTGGTTTTAGTGAAAATGAAGTTCAATCAGGAAAATTACCTGTAAGTTCAGTTATCCTAAATGAATATAGATCTCAGTTTACATTATTTGATGTATAATGAATAGAAACAGCCACCATAACTTCCTTGAAACTCTCAAAAGACTGAAAATTTTCTAAATAATTGAATGTGTTATCCTAGCATGAATTTAGCTTATTTCATAACACTATTTAAATAATAAATTCTAACTACTCATAAGTAGCTTAGCTAAAAGTACAAAATATCTGCAAGTGAGAAATATCATTGCCATCAAAAGTAAGGATATTAGTGTCTGAAAAGCAACTTATTTGAGAAGTATATGTTGAACATGCGAATATATTATATAACCATATGGATTCGTACATCCCAAAGTGCCAGTGATCAATTATATGTGATATTTTCATTTTAAAGCTCATTTTTAAGCTCGATCATAAGTAGTAGGAGTTATTAATAATTAGAAAAGAAAAATGTGAGAGATAAAGAAAAAATTGCAATCTTCAATTAAAAGAAAACATGAAGTCACATAAGTTACCGTCTAGAAGCTCCAGTACCTATTTTGTGTACGCCTGTATTTAGGCAAGCAACAAAACATTTATCATCTTTTCAAATCTTATAATATATCTGATATCATACAGGACTACTAGGCACAACGATTTATAAGGGACTATTATTCACTAGTCTCTACCTCTCAGAGCACTAAACAGCAACTCCATCTGGCAAACTCTTAGAACGTATCTACGTCAGAACATTAAGAATCTTTAAAATCAACATCTTAGAGACTACGTACTCCAGAATTGCAGAAGAGTTGCATAGTCGTAGATTGATAGCTAGACACATGATACTGTTGTTGTCTTTTAATTCTAAGTTCTGGTTCATGCATATGCTGACTATGTTGAAAATATATTTATTAGCAATATGTACCCTCTTATATATATGTGGTTCTGACGATCGGGATTGACATACATTTCTCATAACTTTTTATTAAAAGCACTGTACACTTTGATGATAAGTAGCACCCTGATCAACAAACAAGATGAAAATGTATTTACAGTATTTGCATTATTACAGTAATAATAAATTGTTTTGATTACTCTAAGTCGAAATATTTTTGGATATTATCGAAATCGTGCAACAATTAAATCGTACAATTAACTTTTATTGAGCTAAGCTTAAATATTTAATTTAGCTACTTTTGCTAACATTCATATAGAAAATCGCACTTGTTTACTGATCTATTTCTGAAGTAGCACTACATGATAGTACGAGTTACTAACACATCTAGGTTACAAAAATATCACCCAGCAAGTTTGTTTGGAAAGAGTTTAAATGTTGAAATAAATTTTTCATGAGAGGTTTAATTCTGAATGAGAAGAGATAGTTTACAGATGTGAATAAAAAATAGTTATTACCACCCATTTTGCTTTATATATAAAATGTAGATTATTACCTACCAAAACGTATGTTCGCATGAATTTACACTAAAAACATTGCTTCCAATTTTTGTTGAAACTCCTCATGAATGACCTTCAATAAAGTTGAAATTTCAGGAACTATTCCTCTCATTATATATATAAGTGAATGGAACAACATTGTTAATGAGTTGGTCTTTAAACTATTTCAGTCATTTAACAAATGATATGTACCACTACTCTGAAGAAATGTTTATTATCAGCTCTGCGCACATTTTAACAGACAGAAGACATGAAGCGATCATAAGTCTGTCACTTGGAGTATGTTCTACTTAGCATTTTCAGACTATAGTCAACATGCACAGTTGCTGTGAACGAGAACACGGGTGGGGACAATCGGATGTATTTAGCACAACAATTACAGTCTATTTCAACAATATCTGAATACCATATATTAAATCGTCAATTTGCAAAATATTCACGCATCAAACCAAACTGGATTGTTTCTGTTGCAAACCCCATCTTTTGCTGCCAGACATTAGGTTCTTTTAACGCACGTTATATAGTACTTATATCAATATAAGTGGCTCACACCACACAGTTGTTTTCAGTAACCATAGGATATGGTATTAATTGGCAAAACTATTTATTAATTTTGACTATGGATATTCCATCATCAAACTTAGAGTGCTCCTGATTTCGTTATAAAAACAAATCATGATTATAGTCAGCAAAATATGAAGGATTCTTCAATTGAACGTTGCTTCAAATACATGATTTAGTCAACATGCTTTTTAGTAGAGTAATAAACTTATCCTCAGTAGATTAACTGAGAAAAACTAATTATAACGATAGCCTTTATAGAAAATAAGTGTATTAAGATGTTGATAGTCTGATACAGAGTAAAATTGACTTAGTTGATTTCACAACGAAGTATTGCTAGCCAGACATTTTTCATAGTCGAATGTCGAATAGACTATTAAAGCACAGCATAAGTTTTGGCCACTGAATGAGTTTAAGAATTTACAAGTACATGTGATAACTAGTATACAAAACTATGAGACTAATCTCAATTGTGTTTTTTTTTTGGAGTATACCCTTAAAACTATGTACCAAACCAAAAACAAGAAGCACAATGCTATTCATATACATATATATCACAAGTTAGTGAAACTAATTATTTTCAGAGATACTTGACTATCTTATGTTTAACTAGCGTTCAGTATACGGAAAATAGTTGCATTCAATGTGATTCTATACATACCAGCCAACAAAAACTAAACTAAACTAAGCTTAAAAACACCGTTACTTGGTATGTCATTATTTTATTAGAATAGAAATATTTCTAATTTTTTCATCTTTTTTTGTTGTTGAAAGAAATGATCTTATGTTTCAGTTAATCAGTAACTTTTATAAGAGAAGAAATCAAAATACCTGAATTAATTGGTGTATATTCAAATAAAACATCCGATGATTATTTTCTCTTTTATACTCATCAACTTCAACTTGAATACTGATATATTATCAATGTATTTCACAATGTGATTACATAGAACAATAATATTGCTAATTAGCTGTTTAGCTCAAGTATATGAAATACAATCATTTCATTGCATCAAGTAATGTTATCAATGAAAAACTCAAGGATTTTCTCGTTTCACAGCCATAAAGTTGGAAGTTACAAGTAGAAACTTAGTAATGAAGAGAATCATTGTATAATTGCTTAGCCGATAATACAAGACTATTAGTAAGAAGGTTGATTGTCTCTATCTTGCTAGGAACCCATCACTTAATTTTTTAACCATTGAAATGATATGGTCCGACTAAAATACTGGTGATCAAAAATCATTTATACTTTCCTGTTAGATTAATGAAAGCCTTATAAAATCTTACATTTCAGACCGTAGACTGATTATCTTGACCTGACAAAAAATCGACTCATGAATTCAACTATAAAATTTCTAAAATCTCCACAAAACTCCTTTTGATAATAATAATCGTACGCTCACTAGTGACTGGCTTCAAGAGGTATTTCCTGGAGTTCTAGTGGGAAGCAGTGACCACTGGAGTTCAAATGGGTTTGCTGTGAGATATTAACTCAATGAAGACATTATCACCGTTGTATGACGGCTCAGTGGTCTAGAGTTTGAGCGTTTGCGCACGAGACTGATAGGTTCTGGGTTCGAACCTCGCGGAGAGGTATCGTGGGTGCACACTGCTGAGAAGTCCCATACTAGGATGAAACGGCCGCCTAGTGCTTCCAGGTTTTTCATAGTGGTCTAGCTTCAATTGACTCATGAATTCAATTATAAATAAAGTAGAACTCAAGCTTTATAAAATTCGGTTATCTTACACAACTGAAAAGAACTATGAAAATCTATTTTGTAACAGAAGTAAATGTTTATTAACTATGATGAAAATAATTCAGTTTATGAAATGATCTGAAACAAATTAGTAGCAGATAAACATTGACAATGAAAACAACATTAATAATAATAGTAATCGATATAATGGTAAGTATAGTGACAAAGGCACAATTATGATTGATTATAATGATATTTTTTATCTTTTTATTTTATAAACTTCAATATACTTGTCTTGTAATTGATATTCATTGAAGTAGTAGTAGTAGTAGTAGTAGTAGTAGTAGTAGTAGTAGTAGTAGTAGTAGTAGTAGTAGTAGTAGTAGTAGTAGTAGTAGAAGAAGAAGAAGAAGAATACGGAACCAAAGTAGCTGAAATGTCAATATCTCTTGATTGATAGAAAGGCATAGAATGATATAAACAATACAAACAAACTAAAACTGAATGTGTTTACCTATATATATATTTGTTGTACATAAACTATGAAAGACAATGAATATGAAAGTTATGCAAATGAATTCTTATGATTGTGCCATTGATTTTATTTATATTATGTTTTAGATCTATCTCTATGTATGAGTAATAGATTTTTGTTTGTTTGAATTTTAAAAAAAAAAGAAGAAAAGAAGATGGAATATCACTATTGAAAGCCAATAAAGAAGTTACTTATTCGAGTATTCTGTTTTTAACCCTAACACATAATGGATGATAGATCATATAAAGTGTTTAATACATGCATAGTATATTGAAGTTGAGAATAAGGTATTCATAAATATAGACAATGGATAAGTGTGTGAAAAATAAACAAACTGAATGATGAAAATTATATTTTGCGCAGTTACATAGTTAGTAATATCAGTAGTAATAATAATGATAGTAGTAACACAAATTAGCCTATAACTCTTTTTATTTCACAAGTAGCCATAGTGTATAAAAAAATAGTTGCATAAAATAAGTTTATACCTTTCAAATAGTAGCAAAATTAAGTTAGTCAATGAGATAAAAATGTCTATATATATGTGTATATGAATCTATTTTTTTTCAAACTAAAGTTGGTTTACATTCCAGAGGGTATGATAATATTCGATAAATTCAAGGTCATCACTTCCGGGATTATTTGATGGTATTGTATTTATACAATTATATGTATTATCTGGTATATGAATTCACAAAATTGTGAAATAATAAATAATATGTAACTCAAAGAATCTTTTCGTCTTCATATGTATATGATGCAATTCAGTATAATATTGTGAATGTTGTAATGATATGTGTATATCTTTATGTGAGATTGTTCATGGGCTTATATATATGCATACACATATATTTGAATAATTTAAACAAGTCGAGAATTCAATTAGAATAAACCTGAATACTTTTTCATTTCTGCTTGTTTCCATATTGGTAATTTATTGAAATCATCTCTAGACATTGAAAATATTTCCTGTAATTGAAAATCAAAAGTTTAAAACAAAAATTAAATCATAAAACTCATGAATTTGTTAGTTAGATCAGTAGTTCATAGTTATCCCTTGATCGTTATGTAACATTATATCGATTATTTAAATAATGTCAGTTTATTGATAATTATTCATATTGTTTACTTTGTTTTGTAAAACTATGTTTATCAACAGTACAGGGTTGTGGAGATGATTGAGTTCTAAATATGGTCATAAATCGATCAATGTTAGACCATCAGTGGAAACCCGTAAGAACTAGGCGGACGATTCGTCCTAGTTTAGTAATCCACAGTAGTGCATATCCACGATCCCATAAGCAGGACTCTGACCCGGGACCTTCAGTCTCGTACACAAACTTGTTGTAACTGGTGGACATCAACCATGTCGAGTGAGAGGCAGTTACCAACCGAATGCAATGAAAGATAGTCGCTCAATGTTGTGGATTGGTTGAAGTTAGACGTTCACATCGTTGAACGTCGGCTCAGTAGTCTAGAGCTTAAGCATTCATGTGCGGGACTGTGGATGTACACTGCTGAGCAGTCCCATCCTCAGACTAAACAGCCGCCAACTTCTTCCAGGTTATCACTGGTGGTCTAAAAATTGATCGGCTAATAATCTCAATGTAAAATTAATTTTTGTGATCAAATTGTTGGATTATCACAGTTTTTGACAAATAAACTAGTAATACAATTCGGTATAAAGTTTTAGCCTAGTATTAGACTAAATAAAATCAAACTAACAATTTATTATGATATTATTTTTCATTGATGAGAACTTAATCATCAACTATGATGATATATAGAGTTGCAATACATTCGAATTCATTTTATAGGAATTTACATTTGTAAACATTTACGTAATTGAAATTCAAAATCATTAGCTTGGAGAAGCACAAAGCAGACTGTTAAAAGTTATGTTGGAGTTATTTTCAATTTCGATTACTGAGATTATTATAAGTATAAATAAATAGAATATTGAATTGAAATTCAAGGGTTAAAATATAACCCAATTGTTGTCAGTATTCAATTGTATTTCATAATGATGAATGTTTGTTTTTCAACAAAGGCGGTTTTATGCCGCTCAGTTTATTCATTTAGTATTTATATATAATGAAATAGAATTTAGATTACATCTAACCATCTAAGTGAAATATTCAGTAAGTCATTGTCATATGAGGAATTATTCTGGTAAAAGCTCAGTTTTCTTGCCATTTCTTTTTTCCACCAAAGGGATGAATAGAAGTAGGCAAAGGGAAAAACGTTCACATAAATGTCTACTTAATTTAAACAATATATATGATTATGAAGTATTATACTTACACAATACTTCTCCATGACGGATTGCACTGAATAAAGCTATAAAACATACCTATAAGAATACACTAGATATATATTGTTCTTTACATTCAAACCATTACTATACCTTATTGTTTAAATTGTCGAATAGACATTTCAGTGTCTAGTACATGCAATTTTACACATATAAACAGTGTTTTGAAAAGATCTTTCATTAAGTTTTTCTTGTAATTATCAACTCACCGAGTAGTCTTTGTTCGAAGATTTTGATTACAAATGTATTACTCTCATTTAATACTGTACTTTAGTTTTATATGGAGGGATAACTCATAGAATGGATCAGAATGATTAGTGAAAATTCTACGTTCGTTAAACTTTTTTACAACACTTAACAAAATAATTTGTTGAATCAATCAAGAAGAATAAAAAAACTACAAATGAGTATTTGTATAACTTACTTCGAAGGTTTTATCATCTAAATACGTTTCTAAACAGGTTGCATCCAGTTCAGGCGGGAGAGGACGTTGTTGAAGATCACTCAAGGTATATGAAGCCAAAGTATATGATGATAGTAAATTGTCAATTAAATCTTTTTGACCATCAGTTTTACCATCCTGAATAATATGTGGAAAATAGATTAAAATATATGAAGAAAATAGAAAATAAACTAATTCACTAGTTGGTTTACTTATCCGTTGACAGAATCTTAGTGATAACATAAATGATAATATGCAATGAATTACTTTTTAAAAAAACTCGTTTCATCTTCAAATAACTTAACCTATCAGTTATAATACTAAGGTAACGATTTTAATGAACTCATCAATTCAACCCATTTGTAACTAGAACTGTTTGTATTTTATAAATTACATTTTGGTTACTTATGGATAATATGAAATATCTTATACTTTCTTACTTACGCTTGTTACTCCTAACGGAGGAGCATAGGCCGCCCACCAGCACTCTCAATTCAACCCTGTCCTGGGTAATCCTTTCTAGCTCTTTACAGCTGTTATTCATCCCTTTCATATCCGCTTCTATTTCCTGACGTAATGTGTTCTTTGACCTTCCTCATTTCTCCTTCCCTTCTGGATTCCACGTTACGGCTTGTTTTGTGATACAGTTTGACGATTTCCCTAATGTATGTCCTATCAATTTCCATCGTCTTTTCACAATTTCCTTTTCAGCTGGAAGCTGGTTTGCTCCCTCCCACAGAAGGCTGTTGCTGATGGTATCCGGCCAATGGATGTTGAGTATCTTACGTAGACAACAGTTTATAAATAATTGTACTTTATTGATGATGGTTGTGATAGTTATTCAAGTTTCAGCTCCAAACAGTAGAATTGTGTTGACTTTCGTATTGAAGATTCTAACTTTGATATTGGCTGACAGTTGTTTTGACTTCTACATGTTCTTCAATTGTAGGAGTACGGCCCTTGCTCTCCAATCCTTGACTTTACATCTGCATCTGATCCTCCTTGTTCATCGATGACGCTTCCCAAGCACGTGAAGGACTCTACATCTCCCAGAGTTTCGCCATCAAGTCTAATTGGATTGCTGTTCTCTGTGTTGTATTTGAGGACCTTGGTTTTCCCTATTGTATATGTTGAGGTCTACTGATGCAGAGACTGCTGTTACACTAGCTGTCTTTATCTGCATTTGTTCGTGTGTGCGGTAGGAGGGATAGAACATCTGTGAAGTCCAAATCGTCCAACTGGTTTTGATCTGTCCATTGTAATCCGTGTTTTCCCTCAGATATCGAAGTGTTCATAATACAGTCAACCGTTATAAGAGAGAGGAAGGGGGAGAGTAGACAGTCTTGTCTGACTCCGATCCATACTTGGAATGCATCTGTCAGCTGTCCACCATGCACGACAAATATCTTATAGCTATGATATTATTAATATTGTTTCATCAATAATATGAATTTTTATATTCGCGCTAAGATATATGTTCATCAAAGAATAAACTCGAAACCAGTATAAAGCGCTCATTGATATAATAGTAACAGTCTAATTACTTTTTAAATTCTTTCAACAACAATTAAATTTCTTATCTAAAAATTGACACAAATTTATCAAAGATTATTTTACACTTATCATATCTACTATATAAAGAAAAGTCTATTACATAATTTAGAAATATCTTATATGAATAAAAACAAGTGAATTTATTCTAATTCAACGTGATACCATATCAAAATTGTCTATGATTCTTATTTACTTTACATGTCTTTAAACATTAGAGGAATGAATTTTAGGTGAGACTATAATTTATCGACAATCTTTGAGCGGCGCTAAAGTGACCTTGAGAGTGTTCACCTAATAAATAGGACCAAATAAGGGTTATAAGCCAGTGGGAGGAATTAGAATTATGGTTTACAGTTGATGATTAGGGTTAGGAATCAGATTTAGAGTTTTCATCACGAACTGACATCAACTATAATGCCAAAACTCTATTTAGCCAAATGGATGAATTTGGCGCAAAAATACGAGACCTATTATCTTATACCTGATTGGTTTGTCCATAAATTATAGTTTCGCCGAAATTTGTTGAATAGAAAAAACTTCCGAAAGTTAAATTCAATTATTTGTAATTTCAATGGTTGAAACCATGAGTCAATTGAAGCTATACCACCATGGAAAACCAAAAAGCACTGGACGGTCGTTTCGTCCTATTGTGGGACTCCTCAGCAGTACGCATCCATGGTCCCGCCTTGCGGGATTCGAACCCAGGACCTATCAGTTCATGTTTTCCATGGTGGTCTAGCTTCATTGGACTTATGATATCATTCATTGAAATAAAAAATAATATCCACAAAAACCCTTCTGATATTAATCCATTATTTGTATCAATGATATTTCCAAAAAATTTACCCAGGGAATAAATTGGCTGATACTTAAATTTTAAACCGAGTAAAATACTACTTAAGTATAATGGTAAATCAGTGAATAACTCAGATATACTGATATGATAATGTTTTATCGTGAAATAATAAAGAATATCTAATAAGATAAAATCTTTTAATTTAAGTGACACAGTACACTGATTTATAGCTTGAGATCTTAGAACATCTTTTACTGGTGGTAGAAAATCTTGGTTATGGACTTTATTGTTGTTATCATTTGCCAGAAGATCCATGAAGAAGAAGAAGAACAAGAAGTGAACATATTGTTTATAAACCTTTATCTTAACATTTACAAATAATTTCTACGGTATTTCACCTAATCCATACATTTATATTGACTGCTTAGAAAGTAGTGGAAAAACACATAGATACTTCAGCTGTATAAACTGCCATTTTTCCACTACTTCTAATCTATTAGAAGTCCTCTTACTCAGTGAACAGGAAATTAATGTGATAATAATTTTGGTAAATATAAGATGTAGTCTTTTTAAAGTCCTCTTAGTCTATATGGGTAAGGGCTGTGCGTTATAAAAAAACTTTTGTTTTTTAATACGTTTTTATTAGAAACTACCATCTACAGAGGTTTCATTGAAAGATATGAAACGAAGAACAATGAATAGACTTCAGTTTAACTCTGTTCTTCGAGGTTTTTAGGATCATGTAATTATTGAATATATTTTAAGACAAAATTACAGAACATCTTAGTAAAATCTGAGAACCATATAACAAATACTTCATTTGCAATGTCAATCAATTGTCTCAAACTTGACTGTTCTTTTGCAAATATCAGTCAATCGTCTAAGATTTCATTGTTCTTCCGTTTCCACACCAATCATTCTTTGTTCTCGTTCTCTTTTCTTTGATATTCTTAACCTTCTGTCGCCAGACATTTCACTTTCTACTGATGATGCATACTACTTATATCCCTATACATCAGTAGCACACACCACAACAGCAGTTAGTTATTAATTTCCATGTAACCAGATTTAACAGATATATATGTACAAGCGTCTCTAAAGATCGATTAAACTATACTTTATAATATCATAGTTAAAACATTTAGACGGTATCAGAATCAAAATGAGATGTTACTTTTTGTTATTAGCAATAAGTAACTGAACCAAATATACATAAACTGCAACATACAAAGCACTTTCCTCTTTTTTTGTTTTTTGTAAGGTAATGTTTAATATTCTCATCGGATAACCATTGTTTATATTAAATCAATGTACCGTGGGTGGCCTATGCTCCTCCACAAGGAGTAACAAGCATAAGTAGGAAGGATTAACACAATTCCACACACGTATTGAATATTTTTTCACTAAAATACTCTGATATCCGTTAAGTAGGTGAATGAAAGATACCCGGACCAATAAAATGAAACACAATGAAAATGAAGACAATCATAAAATAGGCGTAATAAAACAATACTGTTATGATGAAACTAAGTAAAAAGTAAGTAATGAATTTGTTGTTAATTTTAGTTGCATAAATTACAAACCATGCTCAAAGTGATTTAAACTTGTGTAATTTTTTGTATTGAATTTTATATACAAATGAACATTTGTATATCAAAGTTTCAACATTCATCTTGTTGTTATGAAGACAATTTCTATTAATGCAAAACGCAGATATTAGAATTTCATATTAAAGGAATATGGTATGATATTTATTAGATAATTTATATAATAAGTAGATTTTCCTTTTCACACTGGTGAAATTTGAATGGTATTTAAATGAATGAAAAAAAGTTTAAAATAAAATCCCAAAAGTCTTTTCCTTGACTTAAATCAATGAAAAAAGGTGATTAAAATACTTTGGTTAGATGTTTTAAAATTCATTAGCTCTCTCTACTTCAACAGACAGGTTAAAAGATACACAGGTTTCCGAGAATACGGATGAATTTTTCACATTGATCATTACAGAGTGTGGATTAATGTGCTGATCCAGTAGCAGTGTGACCACTTATACCATGACTCTGCATCTAGAGGTGTACTATGTCAAATGTTAGGTGGTTGGAGAGAACTGACAGGAGTCTTAAACTTAGAACAAATTAAAATTTGTAGTCATTAGGGAACTGATGCTTTAGTTGGGATTCAAATACAACGGTTCAGCTAGCGAATTAAATAGTCATCATGTTATAGTAGCAAGGTGTCTGCACATGTTCCGTGGTATATTATTTCAGTGATATTGTGAATAAATGTATTTTTTGATCAAGAAATTAACTAATACCTTGGATAAATGTTTTATTAACTCGATTCCTTACTGTGTATCATCAATATTCCCGGACAGTATTTCTCAGCCTAACAATAAACCTTAATTTATTAATGTTTGTGGAAATCAATCAATCTGAGGGTATTTCGGATCGCAAAGTGACTAGAAGACCAGTGAAAATGAAAGGGCGGCATTAGACAGCTGTTTTGTTCGGAATGAAACGTTTGCATAACAAAGAAGAAGTTTCAGAAAATTATCCTCTTTTTTAACTACAGTATCTGTAGTTTTTCAGTCGAACAAGTCAACATACGTAAATATAGGTTAATGTCTCTAGGAATGCTTTACAAAGCAAACCCAAAGGATGATAACTAGTGAAATGTCATTTAACTGAAGGCATCTTTTCTAAACAAATCCCAAAGTTTTTAGTTCAGAGAAGGTATTTCTGATAAACCTATTTATTAAAATATTCACATTTTGTGAGTTAAAAATCTAAAAACATTAAATACACTGGGCTGACATAAATTTTGTTACATGCCAAATAGAAATCTAGACCACTATGTTACATAGTACTAACTGAATATCAACCTTCGTTTCAATGGATCTAAATTTAGTAACTTTAACCATAAACTATGTTGAAGTTGTATAAAAGTTGAAATCCCGAAATTTGGATTGCCTATTTTCATCTATGTATTCTGACAATGTGGCATCAGCTGGCCATTCTTATCTGATTATTTTTTTCTAACTAGACTTACTTTAAAAAAAACGGTTGCACTTTACCTTTGACGTTTAATCGTAATTTCTTTTGTTTAAATGATTTCGCCAGGAAACGTTCAGAAATACAGTTAAATAAAGCTCTTAAAATGTTGTTTAACATAATGATAACAATAATATGCTCAGTACAAACACTAATATATGTTGAACCTTAAGAATAAAATAATATTCTGAATACACACCAGAAGTTTGATAGCACCATTTGACTACGAATTCAAACAGTCAGTCAGTTACAACGTAGGACCAGGCAAATACATGCATCGGTCCAAGTTGCCATACCTCATTAGCACAACAAGGTGAAAACACCGGATTCATAAAAGCAGTTAACTCAATCGTGTAATATATAAAGGAAAGATTTTATGTAAAGATATAGTACAGAAGGAAAGAATTAGTTTGTAGAAAGAAAGATATGAAGTGATTTTAATCTCATAATTTAAGGGAAGATAAAGAGGGTATATATCCGATTAAATAAAAGTTTGAGGTCATTTGAATAAATGACTGACTTGATAATCAATTTAAGTGATTTTCAGTTTCTTTAGTGTGTGCAACCAAACAGCTGATATATGCATAATAATTAAAATAATAAAAATAACAACATTTGATTGAATTATAAATTTAGGTTAAATATCCTTAGGTGTTATAAATGTTTCGATTGAATTTCTCCTAAAGTACAATGATTAGTAGTTAATGTTCAGAAGAGAATGGTATGCCATCTAAACTAGTTTACCTGATTACCAATTGATATTGATAACAATAGTTTCATTATGAATGTAAGAAACTAAACGTGAAATCACATTACCCCACTTAGAAACGATATTTGACATTCAGTCGACTGATAGTTTGGAAAGAGTAATTAAAATATTTTTGAGTGCATAGTTCTAGGGACTGATATTGTATTATAACTTATAAAAGAACTATCTTACTAGATAGTATATTCCTAACACAATCGAAAGGTATATGCGTAGTCACTGTTAACTTTTTCAATAATAAAAAAATTGAAATTTCAAATCGCATTCACAATAAAGAAACACAATTTGATTCATATTAGCAACATAAAACATTTTCACATTAGAAAACCTGTTTTTATTTATTTATTCATTTGTAAGTGCTATATATAAAGATCCGAAACTTGATATTAAAGTAATACATCATTGTATTAAAACAGACTAAATTATTGATGAACAATGATGTTTAAAGTGCCTGGAACTACCCTTCATTTTGTTATAGAACAAAAACTTTCAATCAATCATTTACAGATAGGATCCAATTCATCAGATAGAATAAACGTAAGATAATATTAAGCAATCACTTATTATATAAAGATACAAAGATGAGAAATTTTATGTAATTCAAATAAATATGTAAACATAAATCAAAGTACAAAATAATGCCATTTTTATGTTCACATTACTTACCTCGAATTGATGATAAGCTATTGCATCTGTCGATCTAACATAAGGAGGGAATAAAACTAAAAATTCCGGTGGTTCTAAGCCAGCATAGATTAAATAAGCTTTTGCACCTACTGAAATTTGTGAAGAATACAAAGTTAAGAAGGGAAAACATTATTAGTCAGTGGAAACGTGTTCGTAAATAGAATAGAAGTTCTAAAAGTAGACGCTTAAATTCAGTGAATATCTTTCTAAACATATTAATTATAAACAGAAATGATGGTGATGGATAGTGGCTAGCAGTGGAGTCCTGGACGCGCGTTTCGTCTTATTCGGGACTCGTCAGCTGAATGTACCGGCATTTCAGAGTTTTGATGTTTTGCTCTGAGACTCGAACCCAGTACTGTTCGCTTCAAATACCATCGCTTTATCCACTTAGATTCTGAGTTCAGTTAACCAGTAGCTTGTGTGATGGTGTTAAGTTTAATATACTCCTGTATTGGCTGTTTGACTTTCCACAACAGCATTGAGCTTGATTCCTGGAGTGGAAATCAAAACTGAGATTTAGGTACATCCAACTGACGAGTACCAAATAGGATGAAACCTTCATCCTCGATCCTACCGCTAGCTACCACCCATATCTGTTTATAATGATTGTAACTTAAGGCAATATCAAGGTAATCTGCAAAGGTTGCACACATATCAATAAGAGACTGATCAATTACAATCCTGAAAATCAATGAGAAGATTCAAACAACTAAAATGAATTAAACCCACTAATTATCTTCTAGATAACAAAAAGTCATCTAAAGGGATAGCTTTAACTAAAGTCGTTAGATGGTCTTAATCAACAGATCAGATCATGTGATATATGTAAATAGAAATCTTTAAATATTTCTAACATAGTAATAATTAATGTTCCGTATACTATAATGTTATGACATTTCATATTTACTAACAAATTACTTCATATTGTTTATACCCTAGATGAATTATTTTAAGCTAATGAGATAACATAAGTAAATGTTTATTATATATATTGCGTAAGATTAGCTTTAACCAGCATATTTCCACTTTATGCAATAGCATAATATGTATAACAATACCATCTATTGGATTACGAGAATATAAAAAAGAATATAAATAAATGTTTAACAAATAAAACTGTACTGTAGTACTTCAACTGCATTCCATAATGATTAACATATACTGATTTACATAGAATCATGTGTAAAAGTAGTCTTTATAGTTAACCTTAATTGTTAGCCATAACAAAACATTGGAAATTAAGACTTCTATTAGAATTTATCTTTTCATTTATAAATGTATCACTTTCACATTTCGAATGATCACTTGTGTTGATCTGATTATTGATTAATAATGAAATAGAAATAACTAACCATGTATGAATTCAAAAACTAGTCGTTAACTTATACATTAGGTGTGAATATGCTGGTGACATTAACTAGTTAATTATCCAAACCTAAATTTATAAAACATAATTCAGAGTGGTTGGAGAATGCATTTGTGAGCGAATAATTCACTTCTTCTAAATTAATTTTTGATTATTTACAAGAAAAAAAATTGGGTTTTGTTTTAACTCATGGATTATCATTCTCCATATACTGATTTCGAATTTATATCATATTTTATTCATGGATACATGGATTCATGGATATACTCTTGCTACCTCTACCACTACGGGATTTGAATCGACCACTGCATCTCCGTGCTAATGTGGTATGGCAACTCGAACTGATGTACGCACGTACTAAGTTCTACGTTGTTACTGACTGACTGACATGGATACAATTATAACTGATTTAATAACTCTTCAGATTGTGCATCAAACTGTTATTATACTGTCAATGCTATCATTCATGAGTTCATTCGAACTATATTTGTCATAGATTTCAGAAACCTCAAATTAAGGTTTAGATATTTCTAGTTTTCTGGTAATAATTATACATTAAATAATCAGTTTACAGAAGTATAACATACAACACAACATTGTCTTTATCGTTAGTGTAAGTAATTTAAAACATTTTAGTTTAGTTAGACAAAAATAGATTGTAATAGCCAACTTACATTTATCTGCTAGAGCTTTAGCGGTATGCATTGCAGCTTTGCGTACAGCACAAAATCGAGCACGACCTGTTCCAGTCAAAGCTGGTCGTTCATTTTCTTCAAAATCAAAAGATCCATCGGCTGAATTCTGTGGACTAAATTCAAAACATTCATCTAATGATGTACTCCATCTATAGTCATCTGTTTGATCTCCTAGAATAGAAGGAGATTTGCTATGAGTTGAAAAAGATCTCGATAACTTTTGTGACATAAATCGAGATCTTGTTAATGTAGATATAGGCCACCATCCTTCCCAAATATAAACAGACGGTATTTGAGTTATGATGAGAAACAAGGCTGAAATATCATAATTAAAAAATGATTGAATGAATAAAAATTACAAACTCAATAAGTGAATATTGTTTTCGGCATTATCGATCTTTGTTCATTATTACTTATTATAAAACTTTAAGCACTGATAGACTAACAAGCAATACTGAGTGTAATATTTCAATTCAAAAATATCAGTGTGACCAATAATTTAAACGAAATACTCTGCCAACAAATAGCACTTGAATGGAGTCGACAAAAAAAACTGATCTATTATTTGATTTTTGAACACTTCTACTCAACCACTTATTAACTAATTGATATGAAGTTGTAAACTTTTCTCACATTTTTATAACCCTTGGTTAACGGTAAACACAAGAAAACTGTTGGATATTCTGAGATAATGGAAATTTGTAGCTCAGGTGGATGATTTTGATGGAGTTTTGTTCTCTGAGCTGGATCGTTTGGTCGTGGAGCTTTCATCATTCTTCTGAACGACATCATCAGCACACACTTCAGATAGAAATGAAGTGTTCGAATTTCTCCATATGCGTTTCACAGCTTGTTCTGTACACCTCGATGTTGATTGGTTCTTATTGACTTTAAATTTATCATTGTTTACTTCTTTGTTTTGGTTGTGTCTCCCATTGGTTTGATTTTTGTTCCTTTATTTGTGCATGATTTTTCTGATTGGTTGATAAATTGGGTTGATCTCAATATGCTTGTTGACTGCTGATTGATCTGAGTGCCAGGCTTCTAAAACTTCTTTGGTGTTTTTGGAATATCGTTCAGAAGAACGATGAAAGCTTCACGACCAAACCAACCAGCTCAGAGAACAAAACTCCATCAAAATGTTGGATATTCTTTTCTCACTATTAAATCAAACTTCATATGAAAATATAAAGTGAATAAATAAGGAAGGTATATATTTGTCTAATTAGTTCTAATGTTTATTTTCATGTCATATTTTGTATTATCACAGCATGACAGCATCATAAGAATAATGTGAAATATGTTGATATAAATAACTCAAAATATATATAGATAATGAACTTGTTATTATATAAGAAGACCAGTATTATTAAAAGTAGTAATAATATACAACACAAATTAATTATATGTGAGGAATTCACTAATGTTTATGGTATAACATGATTTGAAAACTATCTTGTACTCAAAGAACTAATTAGGTGATGGCTTCATATAGTGAATAATATTACAAGTAATTGTGTAAGGTATAATTAGGAAGAAATGAAAATGTTTTAGAATGACTTTAAAAGTGTCAAAATACTACTGGTTGCCATAATAGACTTTTAAGTTGGTTACTTACTAAATGTTGATGAAAGTCGTAAGTATGATGTGAAGTTTTGTTCTCTTAGCTGGATGGTTTGTTCATGGAGATTTCACTGTTCATCTGAATAAAATCACCAGCACAAACTTCAGGAAGAAGTGAAATGTACGAATTTCTCCATATATGACTCACAGCTTGTCATATCGATCATCATAAAATCTCTTCTATACTTAGTAACAAGCCTACATATTCTCTTTCAGAAATATTTCACTGGCTGTATATCTTCTAAAAACTGATTTATTGATGCATTGGTTTTATTAAGAATATAATAAGTCAATCCACTGACATAATTTATTTGTAAACATTTATGACCAAATTTCTTACGACACCGATGTTCACCACCAATAGAGGAGCCTACAATATCTCAGTTCACACATATTAGCTGTTAGGTAACCAGAAGCGAAACAGAATTTTAAACTTAGATTTCCTAATAGTCTTTTTGGAAGCCTTGAAAGAGTAAATGCTCCGTAAAAGTTATAAATTCAAGAAACGCAGTAGGACGGTTACGAGATGCTACGAAAAAAAGTTATTAGGACTATGCGGTTTCAATGGGTTCCAATAGATTTCCTTTTCAAATGATCATAATATTATGTAAAATTTCATGTGTATACTAAAAAATCTAGGCATGTTTTCATAATTTTTAGATGCTATTGGAAAATCACATTTCTTCTACATTCACATATCTAGAGTCATAGATACATCACAGTACATCAAATAGTGTTTTGAATATTAATAGATATTCGGATCCTGTATGCGGAATCATGGATGTACACTGCTGAGAAGTCTTATACTATGATTAAACGGCCGTCTACTGCTTCCAGGTTTTCAGTGATGGTCTAACACTAATCGATTCTTGGTTTCAATTAAAACTCAACAATCTCTACAACCTTTTACTAATAGATATTCATCTTTTAAACTAATAAGCTTAATTCACTTGATATTGTTTTTACTTCAATCTTCCCATTGATGTTTTAGGACTGAAATTGATCAGTCTCTTACTGGCATATGTGCATACTGTGCGTATGCCTCGATATTGCATTAATTTACAAGCATTATAAGCAAAGATGGATAGTGGCTAGCAGTGGAATCCAGGACGCGCGTTTCGTCCTGTTTGGGACTCGTCAGCTGGATGTACCTGCATCTCAGAGTTGGCTATCAGGACTCAGCAGCTAAGTGGATAACGCAATGATGTTTGAAGCAAACGGTACTGAGTTCGAGTCCCAGAGTGAACATCAACTCTGAGATGCAGGTACATCCAACTGACCAGTGCCAAATAGGACGAAACGCGCGTCAAACTGCATTCCACTGCTAGCCACTATCCATCTTTGCTTAAAAAGCTTAAGTTCAGTTATGAGAAAGATTACGTTGCTCATTATTTTAGCAATTCAAAAGTAGAATACAACAGATAGATATTCAGTACCTAGTTAACTTCATAATATGCTTACACCTTTATAACGTTGATTATAAAAAAACCTTTAAATATCTAACAAAAATTCTGTTTACCATTAAATCAAAATTATTATTATTATTATTGTATTACATAAAATGGATATCAGAATGTACATAAACAAAATCGATTGTTCGCAGCAACTACATAAACACACACATGAATACATATAAACCAATACACTGTATTTATCGTCTATTACCTGACCAACAAGTTACATAACTTCTAAATGATCAATTTATTAAAGGGATGAATTGTTAACAAATGGCATTACATAAATAAACAATATGCTGAAAATAATATATACTTTTTAACACAATGATTTTCAAAATAGATAGTAGTTAATATAAGTATAGTGAATAAACAAAGTATTTAGACAAATGGTGAAAGCATTCAGACCATCAAAATGATTTAAATTTAATTCTTGTTAGTTAAATAAATGATTCTTTAGTGTTGAAGTTGAAGTTCAATAAAACTACGGTAATATTTTTAAGATTTAACGATTTAAACAAATTTTATGAAACAAGTATGTAATCCTTAAACCACATAAAAATTAGCGCACGCACTTACGAAGGAAAGAGAAATATGATAGTTTAGTGAAAAGTCAAGTGGAAAGGAGTAATAGAATAGTATACATGAGCATTTCGTCCTAATATGGAACTCTTCAGCAGTACGCATCCACGATCACATACGCAAGACTTGGACCTAAGACCTTCGGTCTCACGCGCGAGTGATTAACCTTTTTAGACGACTGAGCATACATCAAACAGTGTTAATGTCTAACTTCAGTTGATCCATGATCTAGCTCAACCCTTCATCTATTGTCTGAAGTGAATAACTATCTCCACCCGATGCGGATTGAACTCTACTGGTCACGGCTTCTCACTTGAACTCCAGAAAATCCATCCTAAGATATTGTTTGAAATGATTATTGTCTTATATGGTTAATTTAGGGTTTTTACGTGAACATTTATGCATCACTGACTGACCTTAGTTAAGTAATAAATGAAAAACAGAGCAATACACAACTGTCTAGTACTGTAATGTACACTTTTTAATAGATCACAACTAGTTAAAAAAGGTAATCCTTAGTTTATGTTATTTTACGGCTAAATGTGTATTCGAATTGGAATATAAATTTGCATCGGTTTCAATTTATCATTTTAGAGGAAAATAAATGGATAGTTACACACTTACATGGTTGTGGTACAGAGTATAAATCTCCAAGTAGGAATGGAAAAGCTGGCTCTATAGGCGATTGCGATAAGTGGGCATTTATCAAGTTTTGTGATGCTAAAAATCGTTCAGTAACTCCTTCAGTAGATTGTGATGGTGGCGATACACTGTTAGTATTAGTTTTGATCAATGTCTCATCAAATGGTAAACTTGCCGGATCTGGCTGAAGAGTATAATTTAATCGTTCCACACCTAGTTTGCGACCTTTATGGTGTGTAAATTGCCAGATAGCCATTCGACTGTGAGCTAATATGAAGGACGGAAAACAAGTTACCATATGAGTAAATTAATTTTAAATATTTAAATGTTATCTCAGTTTCAATTACACTCAGTTTGCAAACGTAAGAGCTTAGAGTAAATATATCTATATTTCTTGATAATTGTCGATCAATAGACTAAAGGAAATAAGAATATAAGCAACCAAAAAGAAACGAATAAGATATGGAAATTCACTGAATCTTACAAGATAAGAACGTTGAACTCTGTGAATTGTAAAACACCATAATCATTTTCTTTATCAGATTATGTTACCCAAACCCTTGATAAAAAAACGTCATACATTTCTATTTTGATTTCTTTTGTTTATTCTCATATTCTTAACCAAAATAAGCAAGATAAATAGAATACGTTTAAAAAGTTGATGGTCAATTGATTGTTATGTAGGTAGAAAGTTAATCAAATAAGATATTCATATAGTTAGATAATATAATCAGATCAATTGGGCTGACACCATAAGCAACATCCTGTTGTGTTATAGAATAGTCTGACTTCCAGCTGAAGAGGAAATTACTAAAAGGCGGTGGAAGTGAATAGTGCGCACATTGCGGAAATCATCAAACTCCTTCACCAAACAAGCCCTAGCTTGAAATTATCAAAGCAAAATAAAAAGTGGCAGACCAAAGGACACATTACACCGGGAATTGGGGGTAGATATCAAAAGAATGAATAGAAATTGGGAAAAGCTAGGAAAGCCCAGGACAGAGTATGCTAGTGGGTAACATATGCTCCACAACTAATTAAGTAACAAGATATAATAAACAATTCAGGTTGCCAAGAAAATACTATGTTGTCAATGTCAAAAAGCTGGGATAATACAGGAGAAGCAAAGAATCATTGTCAGCTTAACATTTAACTACATTCGTCCCAGAAAATCTGAATACTGCTAGGAAAATGTTGAAAACCAAGAAGTAATATATAAATTATTTAAATTTCTTCAGAAATTCTAAGAAGTGTGCACCAAGGCTAGTACAAAGAGTTGAACTACTTACTCACAGGGTATAAGGAATGTAATACTTTCAGACCACTAAACTGTGGTTCGATAGAATTTTCACTGTAGCTGTCTCTCTCAGGGTAACAAACACCCACAATTGACTCTTAAACTTGAGCAAGATATACATTTGATCCATACTAATTGTTAGTTATGCCCACAATCAAAGTGACTCATTATGTGAAATCTTAAACGTTCACTACTCCAAGTATATCTAACCTGTATGTAGTCCGCTTTTATGTAATTACTAGTCAATCAAATTGGAATCGCCTAATGAGTAAGAATTTCATTAATCAGTATTCATTCATTGCACGTCCCAAAAATGTTTGTTATACGTGTTTCACCCTCGATTTTTTTGACTGATCATATGTACAATTATTTATGTATTTAAAAAATGTAGTTTTAAAGACCAATTTTCATTTGCTTTGACTACAATGACGCACAAACTAAGATTCTACAATTTTGCGGAACGTGTTAGGAAAAAACTACATGTTGGCAAAATCAATCAGGTGAAATCTACTGTTAAGAAGTTACCTGAATAAATATTAATAATGTTAAAATATAAATAAGTTTTAATTATTATTTACAGTTTCGATATGATAACAGATTGGAAAATATCAAGTCTAAAGAATATAAGACTTCAACTAATAAGCGGATAAATTTCCAACTTCTACTCCAAACTATTTCACTGGCAAACAAGTACACTCTTAAGACAACATAAATAATTAGAAATACCCTTCATAAACGAAGTTGAACAGCCTTAGACGTAGCAATCAGTAATGCCGTTTTTAAGTAAGCTCAAATAGATATAAACTAACACTCATAAACTATGAAAAGATAAATAAAGAAACTTTAAAATAAAAACAGAAGCAAAATTCATTTTGACATGTGAAATTGACGTGAAGCTTAATTACAAAGCCTTTAGTAATTTTCATTTAATCCATGTATGTTCATGTTTCCATGTGGATAGTTTTGCACTGTGTTATGTTTTTAACAATAACATTCAAGTAAAAAAAAGAAGAGAAAAATCAATTTTCAAACTAAGCAGTTGATAAAATTAATCAATAAACTTTATTTTCATCAATAAGTATAAAACTCATATCAATCATCAGATGGAATTTAGGATTTAATTAGCGATGAAAGTTTGAAATAGGACTAGAAAATCTTTCAGATTAGAATGGAATATAAGAGAAATCGATTGATCACTTAACAATTCATACGTCCAAACAACAAAAAAGAAACGATTCTAGAAGTACAGTGGCTATAGTCTAAACTACATGTTTGTCGTTTTTGAAAATCATCGATAAAACGTTGTTTTTTGTTCTTTTTTTCGTGACTGAAATAAAAAACGTTGCAACTGATGGGTTATCATGAGCAATATATATATATATATATATATATATATATATATATTACTAAGAAGTGTTCAACACAAGTGTTTAATGCCAGAACAGATTTTGATGCATCTAATATTGTGTTTGCATTTATCTATATCTTAACTGCCTATTCTGAGTCAAACTGTAAATTTACTACAACAATCATCACAAGACAGAATCAAACAGTAAAATATATCTTTGATGAAATATTGATCGCTTTTGTAGTAAATTACGGTAAAGCATTTGATAGCGTAGACAGAACAACACAATGGAAGCTTCATCGACACTACGGCGTGCCTCAGACGATGGTCAATATCATAAAGAGTTCATATGATGGATTACATTGCGAAATCGTGCATGGAGGACAATTGAAAGACTCGTTCGAGGTAAAGACCGGTGTTAGGCATGGTTGATTACTCTCACTCTTTCTCTTTCTCCTGGATCATGAAGAAATCAACATCTAGGATGAAGTTGGACAATCTAGATTTCGCAGATAATCTGGTTCTTCTATCGCACACGCAACAGCAAATGCTGGAGAAGAAGACCAGTGTAGCAGCAGCCTCAGCAGCAGTAGGTCTCCATACACAAAGGGAAAAGCAAGATTCTCTGATACAACACAGCATGCAACAATCCAATCACAATTGACAAAGATTTGGAAGATGTAAAACCTTTACATATCTGGTCAGCATCATTGATGAACATGGTGGATCTGATGCTGATGTAAAAGTGCGGATCAGTAAAGCAAGAGCAGTATATTTACAACTGATGAACATCTGCAACTCAAAACAACTGTCTGTCAACCAACACCAAAGTCACAATTTTCAATACAAATGTCAAAACAGTTCTACTGTATCGGGCGGAAACCTGGAGAACTACGAAACCCATCATCCAGAAGATACAAGTGTTTAATAACAGTTGTCTATGCTAAATACTTCGGATCCGCTGACCGGACACTATCAGCAACAGCCTACTATGGCAGAGAACAATTCAGATCTCAGCGGAGGAAGAAATCAGGAGGAAGAGATGGAAGTGGATAGAACACACATTGAGGAAGGCACTCAACTGCGTCACAAAACAAGCCCGCACATGGAATCATCAAGGCCAAAGGAAAATAGGAAGACCAAAGAGCACATTACGCCGAGAAATGGAGATAGACATGAGAAAATGAACAAGAATTGGATGGAACTAGAAAGGAAGGCCCATGACAGAGTGAGTTGGAGAATGCTGGTCTGTGGCTTATACTCGATTGGGAGTAACAGGCGTAAGTAAGTAGTAAATTATGCAAGCTGTTGTTGACATTATTTGATCAATTTTGATGGCATGAGACATGCCTCAATGTAGTGAGGTAAGAAAAGTGAAAATAATGCAGCGGTAGCTTCCATAAAACGAAGATATATATAGTAACTCATTATAGAGAAGTTGAGAACAGGGATATTTGACTAGTCAATGCATACGACTAAACTAGCATAAATATTTCCAAAGTTTCAATTGTTGAAGTTATAAGTTGTAGAAAAATACAAACATTAAAAGAATATGCATTAATTAGATAATACAACTTTTTTTTGGGGAGTTTTAATAGATAAATCGATAAACAGAATTGTTTATAATACATTACTCTTACATTTTATTGAATCTAAGCACAATGGACTCGATAATTGATCTTCAGAATTGAGTATATTTAAAAATTCTTTCGATAATTCATTTCTATCATGTTGATGAATTTCATAAATCAGATTTAATTGTTTGCCAAGTTCTGGTGGACAACTTTACAAAAATTACAAATAAAAATAAACATTATTGTTACTGTTAATTGTACATTTTAAAAAGACATACATCATACACTGTATGATAATAAATCAGTGATGTATAAACATTATAATCTTAATCGAATATATTCAACTGATAAAAAGGTTTAATATTGTTTAGTAATCGGTTAACATTCACAGATTTGTGAACCGGAGGATTGATGAATCAAATGTACAATTGGTTTAATTCTGTAAATCAGTTCAATCACTCAGTGATTCGATCTCGAATCCTATTTGTAAGGCGATGTTTGTCAAGTAAATGCTAGTACAAAACCCAGGGTGGCATCCACTTGATAATTTTCTAAGATTACTTGACAACAGACTTAGTTCACTAAGATACGCAGTTCCTTAAACTAGTGGATACACTGCAACTTGATTGATAGGATCCAATTAATCCTAAAGACTAGACAATATAATATTGACTACTATATAGAGATTATTTATTTTAAACTCACCATTTCTTTAATTGGTTGAGAACATATTTTGCTGTTGTTAAATAACTCGGTGGTACTAATTGACCAATCCAACAAAATGCTTTAATAATTTCAGCAGAATCTGTCATTGGATATTTGGTATATTGCACTAATAATAAGACACCTTGTGGACGTAATGAATTTAACTGGACTGGAACTTCAATGAGATGACCTTCTTCCATAACTTCACCACGGACAATGAACATACGTGTAGTGAACTTGAAATGGAAATAAATGCAAAGTTTGATTCGGAAATATGCAGTCGAATACATTTATCATAAATTTCTGCACGAATATAATTATGAATTTAACTGAATCAAAACAATATGATTTATATCACTAACATACTACGACTGGAATCTGATCTTACCCACTTTACTAGTTAAATAGAAACTCATTTTCTAATGAACATCGAAATCTTAAGTTTTATCATTGGATTAACCACTAGTAGATTATGAATAAAAGTATAAATATTAACCAATTTTAAGATGAAAACTGTCTCATTTGTTTATGAAAGAAAATCAAACATCTAAGAATCAATAAAAAAGACTAATTATTCCAATATTATTTAGTATTTCATACTATGACAAACGAATCGATGATTTACACATTAGTTGCTTTCCATTTAACAACAGATACTGAAATTAGTTGACATTGTATAACATGGAAAGAGAAATAATATCAGAAATATAATTAACTAACTAATGTTGGCAATATCATGTGCACCCCCCCAAAAAAAGAAACACGGTTTCACTGTTTTAAAGGTAATTAAATAAACAAATGACTATTACAAATTATTAGTTTGATTATGATTTCTGATTAATAAGAGGTTATAGTTCTTTCTCAACTACAACAGGTGACAACATATGGTTCTTAATGAGTCAAAAAAAGTATTTCTAATGGGTGGAAATCCAGTATCATCTGTGATATGAAAATGTATTCTTGTTTGATGGTTAACATTCATTATAATTGATAAACTTATCCAATGGTAACTGGTTTTAAACAAAACAAAATGTAATTTAACGTTGATAAGTTTACTCATAAATTATCTTTTAATTCATTCTAATGGTTGAAACCATGAATCAATTGAAGCTAGACCACCATGGGAAACCTGGAAGAACTGGGCGGCCATTTCGTCCTAGTATGGAACGCCTCAGCATTGCGCATCCACGATCCCACCCACCCCAGCGAGATCTGAATCCATGACTTATCAGTCTCGCACCAGGCGTTTAACCAACTAAACCACTGAGCCGGAATCCAATGGTGTTAATGTCTAACTTCAACTAATCCACGAAGTTGAGCCACCGTACACCATTGTCTTCAGTGAGCCGATATCTCACAACAGACATGGTTGAAATGCACTGGTCACGGCTTCTCACTAGAACTTCAGGAAATGCCTCTTGAAATTAGTCACTAGTGAGCAGATGTTTATTATCAAAAGGTGTTGTGTGTAGATTTTAATTCTAATAGGTCTGGATATTCTTTTTCCTTAGCGTTAATTATTAAATTATTTGAAAAGTGAAAACAAGTTAAGTTTAAATTTCCTATTACTGTAAACATGTAACAATCAAAATGAAATTTTACCCTTGAAATAAATTCTTAGAACTTACTTCTTTTTGTGCAGTTCTTTTTCCTTCATGCGTAATCATTCGACCGTTAAATAGATAACAAAATACTGGTGGTTCTCTTCCTTCGATTACTCTTATCTAATTATTGTTACAAATATAAAATTAAGGAAACATTGTGAGTGTTTTTTTACTTTGAGGATTTTATATTATTAGGAAAAGAATGATGCCATCAAGTGGATAGAATTCAGACTTTTGTTAAAAAAGGACTTTTTACCCACCGTGTTTCTTATAAAATATCATTTATTCTGAGATATTTAAACATTGCTGCTTTCTCAGAGCTGTTGTTTTGAACTACATTATCAGTCCTAAATCCAAATAAGAAGGAACGCCACTACCATTACCAGAAATTGGCATCACTGGCTACTCAATTACTTTGAAAATCCCAATTATTATTCATGAGCGATCGGCAAAATTATTATAGTTTTTCTCTCAAATTGAAACCATCTAAAAAACCATTGAAAACCATGGAGCGCTAGACAACTAGTTCATCTTAATTAAACTTGACTCAGCTGTACAATGGTCAGTTACTTTCACTAGTCCTTCAGCTATTATCCGTCTTTTGTGAAAACTGCCTGACTAGATTCTATTTTAAACAAGTGAACATACTGAAGTTTTGTTTGTTATATCCCGACAAGAATTATGAATGGTAACTCTTGAGAATTATCTATGGACCAATAAGATACGATAAAGTCTATAGACTGCTCGTACGGGTTTCACGCGTCATTGGTGCAGTTGATAATTCACTGTTCTCTAATTGGCGGTATCAATACGTCATATATTGAATGGGGGAAAAAGGCCATAAGATATGAGACCTTTAAATTAGATAATGAAAAGAATGCTTATAAAATGTTATCCCTCTAACCAACTGTCTTATACCATATTTCTGTTTCAATTTCATTAACTAAAATATATATCATTTCATTCGTTGTAGTATTAACCTGTTTACATGTTATAAGAAGCATTGAACTGTTACTTATTTTATTACTGTTGTAAATCATTCAGTTTTTTTTACTTTGTTCATTATTATTATTATTAATATAAAATATATTGTACAATAAATTAATAACCAGTTTTTTTCTCTATAATAAACAACTGGAAGTGCCTACTAACTTTAGTATCTCTTTATTAATATGAACAGTATGAAAATATTATAAACAGAAATAAACAGTGGTTAGCAGTGGAATTAGGAACACGCGTTTCATCTTATTCTGGACTCATCAACTGGATGTACTTGCATCCCAGAGCTTTGATATTCACTCTGGGACTTCAAATAACCAATACAAAAATGAATGACATATGCACATTTGCATTTATGCAATAAAGTCAAACAATTATTTAAAGTGTTACTTTAAAACGAATTATTAATTACTTGAATTATGATATGAGATTTTCAATATTCTAACTCCTAATTTTGTTCTAATTGTTGAATATGACAAGTAGTAAGTTACCTACTTACGCCTGTTACTCCCAATCGAGCATAGGCCATCGACCAGCATTCTGCAACTCACTCTGTCATGGGCCTTCGTTTTTAGTTCCATCCAATTCTTGTTCATTTTTCTCATGTCTATCTCTATTTCTCGGCGTAATTTGTTCTTTGGTCTTCCTCTTTTTCTTTGGCCTTGAGGATTCCATGTGAAGCCTTGTCTTGAGACACAGTTGGTTGCTTTCCTCAATGTGTGTTCTATCCACTTCCATTTCTTCCTCCTGACTTCTTCCTCTGCTGAGATCTAGTTTGTTCCCTCCCATAGTAGGCTGTTGCTAATAGTGTCCGGTCAGCGGATCCGAAGTATTTAGCATAGACAACTGTTATTAAACACTTGTATCTTCTGGATGATGGGTTTCGTAGTTCTCCAGGTTTCCGCCCGATACAGTAGAACTGTTTTGACATTTGTATTGAAAATTGTGGCTTTGGTGTTGGTTGACAGACAGACGTTTTGAGTTGCAGATATTCTTCGAATGTAGATATGTTGCTCTTGCTTTACCGGTTCGTGCTTCCACATCAGCATCAGACCCACTGTGTTCATCAGTGATGCTGCCTAATCAGTAGGCGGTTTATATGAATAAAATAGATATATGTAATTCATTGATGTTTAACAAACCTTTGAACCAGTTTGATTCATATATTGAAACAAAGATCGCTGTGTAGGGGTATTTCATTCATGTCTATTCATTGAGGTTCAAGTGAATATGTTAAACAATGAACTCCTAGTATGTTATCATTTTATGTCCATTTCGAATTTGTTTAACAGTAAAACTAGTAATAATATTGACACTACTGATAATGTCTATATTGTCTAACCGATATCAATTAATTTAATTTATATATTAAATTAAAATATTATTATATAGAAAAATAATTAACCTGTGGACCTCTTTCTTCATCTAATTCAATCGTCATTAACGCAGCTGCCCCTTTTTCTGTTATTTTACTTCGTGATCCTTGCCAATAGAAATAAGCACAATGTTCACGAACATTTTCAGTTGGACGTTTATTGCTATTTTGTAAACTGGCTAATAATGAAATCAATTAATTAAAAATAATAATAATAATAATAAAATGAGATTCAATAATAAATAAGACAAAACATCAATGATATTGAATCGAATGTTTAATGGTGAATTAATGATTTAATACAAAAGTTTGATTTACTCAATAAAAAGTAACTATAAGCCAATATTATGAATTTTCATGTGATAGGTGAATAATTTCTGGTTAATTCGAAAGAGGAGGGGACTAGTAATTAGACATGGATGTTAATTAAAATAATATTATGAATAAGAACTAAACAATTGACACTGTCATTTCTTTTTTATTGTTTTTTTTCTAGCCACAAATATCTTTGAAGTCATGTATATTGATGGAGTTTTATTCTCTAAGCTGAATGAATTTGTCGTGAAGTTTTCATCGTTCTTCTGAACGACGTCACCAGTACAAACTTCGGGTAGAAGTGAAATGTTTGAACTTCTCCATATGTGGTACAGGAAAAGCTGTGAACCATAAACATAAGGAGAAGAATATTTCCCATAAAATATATTTTGGAAAGCTTTTACTGGAACACTTCATTTTCTTTATAAATATATAAGCAAATAATAATTTAAAATTTTCAAGCTTTGAAAATACTTCATTTAATAATCAATAAGAATTAGACATTTAAAACATGAGCGTTTGCTTCCATCAACAGAAATGTATGTACACTTGATATATAACATATATTATTATAAGTTGAATGATAGATATGAGTATAGAAATGCCTATAAAGTCACTTCATACTTCCTTACAAGCGATGTATATTACATCAATAGTTTTTTCATATAATCCTTCGAAGAGTCATGAAATCATTAACTGTTAAGTTGAACTGAGTAATTAGGTGTAGACTAATAGGTTAGTTTTTACGTGATTATCATAATCAGTAGTCAGAGGCTTTGGATGATTTAGCTCAGAATGATATGACATTGACTTGGTTCGACCTGTTTTTTGACTGGATATTCTAAATACTTTTGCTTTTTTCCTTTGTACTAATTAAAACTGAGTTAATTTTATTTGCTTTTTTATTCTCTGAAAAAGAAAACGGCTAACACTGAGTTACGAAACGTCAGAAAATTTACTTTTCATGCTTAATGAGATATCACAATTCTATTACTTTTAATAAAAATATACCCATTGCTCAATATATTTAGAATTATCAAGTCAAACCTTGATAAAGATACCTAGTAAAGAATCTTTTAGAATGGAACTCTTTATTTTTATTTAGATCTTCAGTTTTTTTTAAAAATTAACCTTGTAATCTTTTCTATTCCAGGAATTCATATTTTCTTCTGGAATCATATCTTCTTTATGTATTGTTTTTTACAACCACTAATATTGTTAATAACCAAAATACTCCAGAATCACGCTGTGTAAATAGCATATAACAATTTGAATCTATGTACATATATGTCTAGTTCTAATTTTCATATGACTAACTGACTGATACCATTATTCAATGGTATTCAATGCTTCTAATTTAAATTTGTCCATTAAAGATAGTATTTATGTTGTATTAAATAAATATATGAATAATACAACGATTATTTGTACAGATTACTTTTTAGTCGTTTATCATTATGGTTGCCACAGTTCAAAAAGGTTAATGCTTTAAAGTTTAAAATGTGATATTTTTACTTTGATCAGTTTTAATACACCAAACACAACTATTCCCAAATATATTCTTAGTTTACAATATATATATATATATGTGAACACCTTGGTAACTTTCATCAACTTATCTATGAAATGAAGAATAAGATTAATTGACTATGGTCGTAATAATGGACAATTATTAGTTTTCTACCTGAAAGAAATAAACCTAATAAGTAATTTTATATTTCAGTATTAAAAAAAAATATAGAAACTTAACTATAACTTTGGGAATATACAGTAGGTTTCATTTAATTTTTGTCCATTAAACTAGTTCAAATGAATTTAGAACAATATAACACTGGTAATTAATTAGTGAACAGCTGTAGATTTGAAATAAATTCTGTCCATATTTTAGGTTTTATTTAAAATGATTATTCTAAAATATTTTATAATTTGTTGAATCATTGAATGAAATATTGTTAAAAAGTAGTTAAATTAAATGTCTACAATGTACATATTGTGAATGATTTAAACTGAAGAGTTAGACTAAAAAGCTTAAAGATTGTTGCCAATACAGGTAGTTTCCTTTTACTTGTAATTTCAACAATACTCATCTAAGATTTGTTGATAATATGATCTTGTAAGTAGAAACGATGAACTAATAAATTAGAGCATCCGTGATATTTTTAGACATTTGAATTAAACATGACAATGTTAGTTGAAAGGTTTATTTATGGTGACCAATTATGGCTGAGATAACAAGTGCTGGTGGGCGGTTCATGCTCCTGCACGAGGAGTAATAGGTGTAAGTAAGTAAGTAATTATGGCTTTTTATATGTTAATGTTATGTGAAATGAATCAAATTATGAAAATCCATATGTATTCATTCATACAGTTAACGTTTTTTTATTAATCACAATTTTCAATATCAACTATTATCTCTTAACTAAAAGATCAGAACTTAGATTAATAAATTCATCATTTAAATTATACATGAAACTACAATTCAACGGGGATGTGTCTAGTGATACTCTGAAAGATAGGTTAACGAAAGTAATTAGCACGACATTCTACGCAATCAATCTTGCGTTGATCTTCTTGAGTCAACCAGCGATGTCTACTCAAACGAAGGATAAGTTACCTGAGTTGGTCTCCTCAATGTACATTTACAAATTCAGCTGCTCCTGTGGCGATAGCTATATCGGGCGTACTACCAGGCAACTTAACCAACGAATGAGTGAGCATCTACCAGCTTGGTTTATAAGGGGCTAGATAAAAACAAAACACAGTTCTATCTTGGCACATCTTATTGATAGCAGTCATAATGTAGATAAATCGGAAGCATTTCGAGTGATCTATCGTATACCTCCATCATTTCCCAACGAAGTTCGTTCCCATCTCCTACACATATAGCTGAAGCCATAGGAATTCGTACATTTAACAACAATTTATGTGTATAGAATATATTAAGTTACAGTTTCGTTAGAATACTAAACATTCAATCGAAGTACTCTTAGGTGCATGAAAATAACATAACTAAACCCTAATGCTAAATAACTTTAAACACGATGAAAAGTACTTCAGTTTTTGCTTTCTGTAAGCCTGAAGAAAATGAGGTAAAAATAATTTGCATCTTTATTAAATAGATGAAAATTAAGCTTATACAATTGGTGATATATCACACTGGGAACATTTTATATATTAAAATTTCTATGTATCAATTTTTCTAAGAACAATATATTGATCAATTAACTACAAAGAGGAAATAAATAAATTTGCAACTCTGCAGCGTTACATTTACCTTCAGTACAAAAATATGAGAACATTGAGATACACTTGAGTTATTTTAATACACTTCATATGTACAGCTTCAGACTGAAGGACTATGTGTTATTTACAGATGCGACTTTCATGACATGATCCAACGAGGACATACTTTAAATACCTCGGCTCTCCTACTTCTGTAGTGGATAGAAATCAAATGTTAGTGTACGATTTTATGGTCAATTACCATAAATGTTTGTCGGAAATAGATGCTGCAATGTCATTAAAATCTTTTCATCGTCAAAGTTACCATCAACATTTTACTTTCAACAATTATAAACGAAAATATTTACTTACTATAAGCAATTTTATATGACCATCTGATGACATAAGTATCTTCTCTATGAAATTGTCCATGACTTGTTAAAGGTAGTTCGTATCTAGCAAATTCGGAAATATGCCATACACGAAGTTCATTTGTTTCTACCCAAAACTGTCTTATTATACCATCTTCATAACGACATACTTTACCACCACGACCAACGTAACGTCCTTCAAGTGTTAATAGATTTGGAGGAGGTGGCGGATTATTAATTGCAGTTTCATAGAGTTCATTAGCTGAATATGGTTCCATAGTCAATGAAGCTATAGCAGGAGAACTCTTTAAAATATTCATCAAGAAAGTAATTAGGAAAACTGTGTTTACAAATATGAACATTTATTGTGAAATATATCTTACACAAAATTCACCTACCGTCTAAGAATACTGCCCATTCTATAAACTTTAGAAACGAATTGGACAACTTATATACTGCATACATTGACACAATCATCTGTTTACATGAATCATGAATTTATGAATAGATACTATATAAAATGACTATCCTTTGTTGATCAAACTTGTAAATGAGTTTTGAAATATTAATTATTGAAAGTTACATAAATGTGAATAATTCTTTAATTCACTTGGTATTGTTTACTTGTATCTTCCGATTGATGTTTAGGGCTGCAATTGATCAGTCTATTATCGGTATATGTGCATACTGTGCGAATTGCCTCGATATTGCTATAATTCACAAATATTCTAGGCAAAGATTGATAGTGGTTAGCAGTGGAATCCAGGACGCACGTTTCATCTTATTTGGGACACATTAGCTGTATGTACCTGCATCTCATAGTTGATGTTCACTCTGGCAATATCTAGGCAATACGCACAATATGCACATACGCCAATAACAGACTGATCAGTTGCAGTCCTAAACATCAATGCGAAGATCCAAGTAAAGAATACCAAGTCAACTTAAACTTCACCCCATCGCACAAGCAAGTGACTATCAGGACTCGGTAGCTAACTGGATAACACGATGGCGTTTGAAGCGAACTGTACTGAGTCCCAGTTCTATAATGAACATCAACCCTGAGGTACAGGCACATCCATCTGAAGAGTCCAAAATATGACGAAACCTACATCCTGGATTCTACTGCTATCCACTATCCATCTTTGTGAATAACTTATTCAATATAAAATAAAACAGTTTACACTGATCTAGGTCTTTTTTTCTACCTATTAACTGATAAATGTTAAATTATTGATCTAAGGAGAAAATCAACATTATCATATTTGAGAAGGGGTTTTGTGGACACTATAGTAATTCCAATGGCTGAGATTATTGCAATTACTATAATGTTCACAAAACCCCTTCTGATATTAATCAACATATGCTCACTAGTGACTGGCTTCAAGAGATATATCCTAGAGTTCTAGTGAGAAGCAGTGACCAGTGGAGTTCAACCAGGTCCATAGTGAGATATCAGCTCACTAAAGATAACGGTGGGTGTATCGCCCAATTTAGTGGATTAGTTGAAGTTAGACATTAACACTGTTGGATGCCGGCCAAGTAGTCTAGTGGTTAAGCACTTGCGCATGAGACTTATAGGTCCTGGTTTGGAATCTCGCGGTGGGGTGGGGTGGGATCGTGAACGAGCACTGCTGAGGAGTCCCATACTAGGACGAAACGGCCGTCCAGTGTTTCCGGGTTTTCCGTAATGGTCTAGCTTGAAATGACTCATGATCTCAACCATTGAAATTATCATGAATATCTCGGCATTTTACAGATTATAAAAGTTAAAAAGATAAGACTATACTGACAAATTGATCGTAATTGTTTCATTGGATTTATTCAATAAAATAATAATAATAAATATTCAATACAAATTGTCTATTAATACCTTTAACTCAGTAAATATTCATTTTATAATAATTTACTAAATTATATTCATTATACAACTAATTAGAACGTATGTATTACTATAGTTTAGTAAACTGAATAAATGTGAATATTTGGTTGTTATTATTATTATTATTATTATTATTATTATTATTATTATTCTATTGTCATAACTGAAATAATAATATTATAAATGTGTTAAGAGATTAAATATAGTAACGAAGATTCTAGAGTTTGTTACCTAGAAACCATTGAATTATAGATTTATCATTACTTAGTTGTAATAGAACTACATACCATACTTTAGAACAAAAAAAAAAACTAGTATATCACAAAATTAGTAGAATAAGTATAGATCGAAGTTGATTTATGGTTTGTGCAAGTGAATTTTCTTTAAAAAAAATCTAATTACATGAAACTAACAAATAAATACATTTATACCTACCTCCGTGGAGACTGATTTTCCAGGTTTCAATGATTTTATTTGAATTCTTGAAGTATCAGGCCAATCAAAGAATTTCTCTTTGAATAAGACTGTTTCACCTCTATCCGTTACTTTGCCTAATAATGTCCATTCTGGTCGTTTGCATCCAGAAGCTAATATATCACTAGTGTGGGCTAAAACAATTTTTTTTAAAAAAATAATAAGACGCATTTATTACGGATCAAAAAGATACTTCATTTTGTTGAATAAAAGTATTTTAAACGTATGTATATTAATTAAACAAAATTTTACTTGTAGTTTTTACCGAAGAAAATTCAAATCCTATGAGTTAATAATCAACACCAGCTGATAATGAGTGATCCAATAATCGAGAAACCAAATTGAATTAAATAGCTGTTCTTAGTTGCTTATTGCACATCTTGTGAAAGTCACAATCATCGAATAAAAGCAACGTTTCCAGTTGTATCAATTGATGAATACGAATTTATTCAGCTTTATGGAAAATAAGTAGCATATTTTTATCCGAAACAAATTATTTGAATACAGAATCGTTTGACATATACATATACATAGATTCACTAACCAGTGTATAAATTAATCGGGTTTAATGTCATTTATCTTCACATACAGTTACACAATATTATAAGAAAATATAACAACAAATACGCTTTATGAAGATTTCAAGAACTAAAAAATTACTTCCTTATCCCTTTTTTCTATTTATTGATAATGTAAATCATTCTGTGACAGTTTTTCCCTTTTTCAAATTGTTCTGAATATCTACAACGTTAAGTGACATATATTGAGCCGTTTCAGTCTATGATAACATATCATATCATATACACTTATCCTAATTCTTCGACAAAAATATGTAATTAGATACATGGGACTGTTTAAAAAAATAATATTCGCTTAGTTTTATCAATTCAGTCGATTTAAGATGCTTGAAATACATAGCATAAGTAAAGTGAAAAAAACTAATCAATTAGTTTGCCTGTCAATCATTCATTTAAGTCAGATATTGATATACCAATAAATTCAGTACATTAAACTACTGTCGTACTTCGAAAGAAAAGAAAAAAACACAACTAAAAACAGTAAAAGGTTACTAAATAATGTCAATCATGCAGCAGATAAAGTATGGTGAAATAACTAGTTTGTTATAAATAAAATGATATTTATAACGATGTTTATTGTCAGTGTACATGATAATGGTCAAAGATATATAATCGAAATCAGATCACAGAAATCCGATTTAGATTTGCTCAAATTCAACTGATAGTGTTACAGTCCAGAGTTAAATCGATACACCGAAACCTACTTCAAATTTTACATTTCCACTATTAAATATTCAATTACAAATAGATTAAATATTGAACAAAAGGGGTAGGTTTTTTGAGGTGAAACAAATTTCACTTTGACAAGTATACACTGGATCTTCCATGTAAATACTACTTATATAAATGAAATGTAATTATGCTGATTTATTGTTAGAAACATAGATTAAGTAATTCATTTCAGTGGTACGAAAAATCATAAGTACCTGCCACCACTAAGGAATCCTGCATTAGATATGGATCAGATAAGTGAGATAACTGACTGTCAAACTAACCGTATAGAAGCTTTTACTAATACGATAGACAAACTGTTCAAAATCATAATCGCGGACACCTTTTTCTCTTTAAACAAGAATTGAAGTTATATTCGTCGAAAACATCATAATTGTCAGTGACTTTTAGTACTTCAATCTTTATCAAAATTTATAAAAGTCGTATCAACCATCAGGGTTTCTTTGTTACTTATTACTATATCCTCTGATGAATCCCCTTTGAAATATAGTCTACTAAATGTTATGTCTTTGAAACTAAAGGATTATTTCTTTGGTGTTGAGGCAGTTTGCTTGGTTACAATAATGAGAACATCATTAACAACAGGAAAAATAACTATATCAACACGATATTTTATAATGAAAATCAATCCGCATATCATTACAGCACATGTCTTGAAACATCATATATAAAGGGAGAATTTCATAACGTTTCGTACAACCAATACAATCAAAACAATAACAATCATCTAGTTCGCTAATAAACTGTTTTACTATCTTAGCCACAATAATGGATAATAAACCAGGATTAAAACATAGTTTAGCTAACGAGAACCTCAACTTGTTTGTGATTCTTATTTTTTTGTATAATAGCTTCCGCAGAAGGTTTTCTTCATAAGGCGAGTCAGTAGCCAGTTATTTTGTTGTATGTACTCGTAAAACGAGTGCAGAAAACAGTTATCCATGCAACTTTGGTGATGATTGGTTCACCTCATAGCGAGTGATTTCAGCATTTACATGTCTTTAATTTATCTTGCCGTAAATTAAGAGATGCTTTTTATGAAGCATATCGTATTAAATATTGATATTGCAACTGATATGACTTCTCTTTTCTTCCAACCCATAGAACGAAACTGGTGAGTTCAGAACGCAAGAACTAACCATATTTCCGTGAAGTACATGTTTTCCTACGTTATAAGCAACTGCAATACACTGCCATTAGAAGTGCTATTTCCTTTGATCAATTGATACAAGATCAATGGCATTCGTAACACGTATGAAGATGAAATCCAAAACTCGGATTCCAAATCTTATTGTATCAATCTTTGATGGTTTGAAGTAATCATTTTGTTCACTATTTACTATATTTGCTATAAATTAATCTGTCATTGATGTTAGTAAATAGATATGAACTACTGAATTCCTTCACATCAGTCAAATGATGCTGGCACTCCCTGCAACATATTATGGTCCTCAATTTGGAAGCATATTGAGTAGTAAATGGTCACTAGAGAATACCTTCAAAATAAAACAGCTGTCTAGTGCTTCCTAGAAATCTGTGAATGCCCGTCCAATGTTTTTCCATGATGTAAACTATCGTCAAAGGAAAATATTTTCCATAAAACACTAAATTAGACAAGATTTATTACAAAGAAATAATAAAATCTTCACTGAAAATGACGTTGTCTCTTTTACCATGTTCTATAAGCTTTCCAACAATACAGCTTGTCCAATTAGGTTTATAACAGAATTACGCCATACATACTAAGTAATAAATAATCAGACCGAATATGGACATGTCGAAAGCCAAATAAATTTTCACTTCAATCTTTAGATTCTCATACAGGACCAAAAAATCTGTTTAATTAAACAATGTAATATTTAAAACGGGAAAGAAAACAGCTTGTCTCAAAAATAATTGGACCACTTAAAGGTCACATAAATGGTCTGATCAGTTTTGTTTACTACACACGTTAATGATGATACTTTTAATTTATAATATGGTACAACAATATGAATAATAAACGGATACTGATTATTTAGAACTGAATAATTTCAATGAAATGATTAAATCGAAAATCGATAATCTGATTAATTAAGAAGTCAATACTAGTACTATTACTTACAGTTTAAAGGATCCAGTGGGTTTAATTTACACTGACCAAAATCATAATTCATGTTGTATGCCTTATGAACTAATTCAATACCAGCTTGACGAAGTTCAGAGGTAATTTGTTTACCGGTCCATAAATACATTTCAGATCCAAAGTCAAAAACGAATGCCTATAGTTAATTGAAATAACGGTTTTAACAAATAAAATGATCATTTGCGAAAAATTTAAAAATAACATGATCAGAAGAGGAAACTATTAAGGGAATTCATAGTATTCTTCTATATAAGCTTATATACCATAACAATAATGTGTACGTCAGTACACTTTTTCATGTATTAGTATATCTTGAAATACGGATAATTCTAGTAAGATCTAAAAGGTAGAAAATCAGAGTAAAAGCTTTTTGTTGACCGCTTTTAAGTAAAAACTGATTGAACTTGTATCAATGAGTAAAGAAAGCGGCATAAAACATAGAATCAGCTTAAAGAGTTGTTGGATTTCGAACACTTACTAACTAATTTGTAATAAGATATTAGTATCAAGAGGGATTTTGTGGATATTATAGCAATTTCAATAGTTGAGATCATAAGTCGATTGCAACTAGACCAACATATAAAACCTGGAAACACTGGACGGCCGTTTCGTTCTATCGTGAGACTCCTCAGCAGTGCGCGCCCACGATCCCACCTCACAAGATTCGAACCCAAGACTCGCACGCGGGTGCTTAATCATTAGATCACGGAGCCAGTATCCAACAGTGTCAGTATCTAACCTTAACTAATCCATGAAATTGAGCGACACCAATCGGTCCTGGGTTCGAATCTCGCGAGGCGGGATCGGGGATGCGCATTACTGAGGGGTCTTACAGTGGGATGAAACGGCCGTCTATTGCTTCCAGGTTTTTCATTATGTTCTAACCTCAATTAAATCGTGATCTCAACTATTGAAATGAGAGATTAATAAATGAATAGTTTTAAATTTGAACCTAAATTAGACTGAACTAACAGTCTTTAATCGAAATTTCAACAGTATAAAATGGGTATTCTGTATTATATGGTTAATCACTCTGTTCAAATTTTAGTTAACCTTCAATTCACTTTTTTTAAATGTCAGTCATTTTGATAAGAGACTAGAACTCAATAGAATTTACTGAAATTAAAATACAGGAGACAGTATTATTTTAGTACTTTTGAACATAGTACTAACAATTCACAATCATTAAAATATCAAATATCAAATGACATAGATAGAATATGTATTGAATTGTATGAATGTAAATAAAAAATTTCGAAGAACAACACAGATCACGTGTAACCCATGGTTAAGGTAATCGATTGTTATCTTAATAAATAAATAGAACTTTTGAATTGATTTATTTCTTGCACATTTTATATGTGCAATACAACTTTTGTTAAAAGTGCAATTTTACAAAATGAAGATTTATATATATATATATATATATATATATATATATATATATATATATATATATATATATATATATAACAAAACATTACAACCAGTGGTAAATGAAGGTTATCAGTGATAATCAACTAGTTTTGTCAGTGATATAAAAACATGTAGCCTGTCTGTTTCCGATAAATAGCTTGAATTTATTATTATTTAATTGTAAATTGATGTTTTTTCTTTGAAAGTGTTTTGTTACTGAAATGTTACAAAGTTTTAAGATATACCATGTTATGAGATATTATTTCATGTTGAAGGTATCTTTTTTTGGATGGATTTCTGTTCTCTGAGCTGGATGGTTTGGTTGTGGAACTTTCATCATTCTTCTAAACGTTGATGATGTCTTTCAGAAGAACGATGAAAGCTCCACGACCAAACCATCCAGCTCAAAGAACAAAAATCCATCAAAATCATCCACCTGAGCTACAAATCTTCTCCATCATCCGAAGTAATCTTTCTTTACCTATACGTGCAATACATGAAATGTATGACAAAAAAACATTTATTGGAGTAATAGGCTATTGAGTAAAAGATGTATTTCTTCATGGAATAAATGTTATAAATAACGTTGAAGTGAAAGAAACAAGTTTCAATGTTTTTTTTTAACACTCATCACTTGAAGGTACCAAACAACTAAGTCAGTAAAAAAAAATACATGAAATACACAATACCACTAGATCTAAATATCGAACTTTAAGAATCTAATAGATCAATCATTCAAATAAATATTTAATATACTGGACATAAATGAATGACCACTGATTAATTTTCCTTGGTTATAAGCGTTGTTTACAGTCAAGATTTTGTTGATATATAGTGAAATCGTATGCATAATTAAGATTCATCTAAACATAACCTGAAATATTTGATCATTCTTAACAATAAACTGTGGTAAACGATGTAAACTAACAGATACATCATGAGTGTAGAATTTTTCTAGGAAAACTGTAAAGTGTTTGATTTGTCTATTACATTCTTATTTGCTTTTTATGATACTTTTGGTAACACAATTCACGGTAATTTTGTTGAAAAAGTGACCTTTCAGAGTACTGTATAGACAATGGGTATGCTTGTGAGAAAACTGTAAACAATAACAGTTGTAACAGTTACACTTTTAAAACCCTTGAAATGTTTATACACTGTATTACATTTGATTATAAGTTTGTTATTGGCAAAAACATCGTTGAAAATTAATCGTTAAATCTATAGTATATTAATTAATTCGTAAACTAACCTGATCTGATTGTAAGATATGATATTTCACTGGGTTACCCCAACACTCTTCACATGGTATTAAGCCATCTAAAGTAACACGATACACACGATTAGTATGCTGAATCATTAGTTCATAGCGTTCATCTTCTTCAGGTGGTCCAGCGTCTAATAGGATATAATTTTTGAAACAGAAAAAAAATCACTTAATTGTAGCAATAACTTTTATCATTTACTTTTCTGCAACACAAAGATAACTTAATTAACTGATTTAAGAAATATGACGTAAGATCATATCATGATTAGTCTAGTGCTTAATTATGACTGAATAGAATCTATTAAGTAAATTGTAAGACTGGGTTAGAAGGTTTTGAATGTTATGATAAACATCGATTCCTAAGAGAACTGTGGATATGTCTCATTGATGAACTTCAGCTAGCACAAACTTCTACATCAAGGCTTCTTGCCAGTTGTCCATGTTTAATCTTCCATTTATGTTTCAAGACGCTTTTGGAATATTATGATTATCAGTTGGTCATTCTCATATTAGAAAGTCATCTTCAAAAATGTATATGATTAACACATCTACATACACATTTAGACAAAGTTTCTTCATATGGTTTTGTGCTACATTAGGATGATATATAGACATTCAACATCAGTTATTTAGCTATTGAATAGCTCTCAAAGTAAACTATTGTTTATCGAGTGATATTTCTTTTATATATTTGTATCATTAGTTGACATTCATTTATAGAAGTTAGTACTTAACGATGATCTGGGAATACATTTATTCAAAAACTCAATTTATTTTCCATTTTATAAATTATACATCATATTAAGATGTTAAGTTGGACTACATTCTCTTATTAACAATGTATATAAAACTCTATGAATCTGAACAGTTGTAGATAGATCTGATAATTAGTTCGTTTAGACAATTTACCATTTCATAAAGAACGCAATTGAGACATTTTCTTTATCACCAGAGATCAATGAAGCTTATTTAAGACTTTTTCCAGTTTCCTTCTTAATCTAACTGTCAGTCATTGATATTTGGTCTGTTTGAATGTCTGGGTTACCTTTTCCTGCCACCTGAATATTTCAACAAGTTGTCTGTTTCCTTGTTTGCTTTAAAAGATCATTAAGTGAATTAATTGCATAAACTATTCAGGTGCGTTTGTGAAAAGTTTACGACTTTTCGTTATACAAGTTACAAAAATATACAATCGGAGACATCTTGATGGCTGGCAATATGCGTTGAAAAGAATGAATATTATTCAGACTTCTGAAATCCTAATGTCTAGTTGGCGATCACTCAATATTTATCGTCAGTATCGATCAAGAAATAGGAAACGGAAACTCACCGTAATACTTTGGGCTGAGAATTTTATATTGTACCAAAAATATAATAGTGAATAGAGCTAATAACAGTTCATTTGAATCGGACTATTAAAATGTCAGAAAATCATCAATTAAAGGGACTAAAAATAATTTATTAGTCTCATAACTTACGATGAACCATTTGTGGTGAATTATAACCTAGAGCTTTCCAAAACTTTAAAACTGAAGAATAGTGCTGATTAGAACTACCGGTTGTATTATTTTGATTTTCATTATCCAAACAGCCAGCAACATTGTAAGAATCAGTATTTTCATGTATTGCAATATAACCATCACCGAAATTTTGCGCTGCTTCACCTAAATTCCCAGTATATGACAATTCATGCTTTTTGTGAATCCATGATGCTAACTCTCGAGTTTTATTCACTTCAACAATATTGGCAGATTCACCAAACCAAGCGAATACTGAATCAGTTGTGATAAGAATAAAACAGTCACCGGAATTCATAGATTTGGCTGAAGGAGCAACTAAACGAACTTGAACATGACGTCGACCTTTAGTATATAAACAGTATAAATGGGAAAGAGCAGTATAAAATCTCTTATTATTGTCTGACTATATGTACGGGCATTTTTATTATATGACATAGGTGAAATCTTTATGTTATAAAATTCAAGTACAAAATTCAGCTTGGCAGACTGAAAATTTTTTGTATGCTCGTAATGGAGACTGCCGGTGAGAATTCATATAGCTTTGACCTTATTTGTTAGGATTTATCGGCAAGGACGATATGTGGCTTCCAGAAACGTCATTTTTGTAGTGTCAAGATTCATTCCATTTAGATTATGACTCAAGTATCTTAGTTTTAATTGTAACTAATTTAGCATATAACCAGATGTATTCAAAAAAGAGTGGCCAAATGGTTTTTATTGATTACATTTGGGTTCTCAGTTAATCAGTTTGCATACGATATTCTGTTTTGAAATTGATGTTCACTAAGAGGTGGAACCACGTTGGTATAGATTTGAAGTAAAACTGACCGTATTCTTTTAATAGCGAATCGATTTTAGTTCTGAATGCTTTTGATGAAATTCAAAGTCATCTGTTCTGATATTGACAAATGTCATGCATAGATACTTCACGGATGCTATGATGTCAAAAATGTTCTAAAAATTCCTTGATTTCAGATCATATAATTGTTTGGTGAAAATAGACTGAACAATGAACGACAGAGCTTGTCGGAGACAAGTATTACGTTCACATACCTTGAAGAAGTATTATACATTAAGCGAATTTAAACGAATAGTAAATAAGTATCTACAAATCCAGTTAAATATTGAAAAGAAAGGAAATTATGATTGCTGAACTAATCTTAGAGAAAAGATCTGTCATTTTTATTCATAACAACATTTGAACAATGTATGGCAAAGAGTAATCTAAAAAAAATTTGTCTTCATTCTTGAGTATATTACAAATGTAGTAAATCTTTCATAAGTTTCCATCTTTCCAGTTTATAAATTATCTGTAACATTTAGAGACCATGCTGCTGTCAAACTTCAGATTAATTGCTAGATTCATATTATTAAAGTTTCAAATGAATAATAAGAAAGTGTGAATATTTTGCTACAAACTACTATTTTTTCCGTTTAACCATTCCAATAGCACTTTGACTGAGATACAGCAAGTATCAATAATGTACACTGACCTTTGATATGCAACAACATTATTGGTTTGTAAGGTAAAAGTTGTCTTTGGGTTGAAGAGTTACGAAGAGATTGTCCTTCTTGAACTGAACGTAGATTACCTTTAGCCTCATTTATGTCCTCAGAGCATGCGAGACCAGCTCTAGCTGAATCAGCTAGAATTGAGTTTTTTGCAGCAAAATCTGAAAGTCAGTAAAATAGGGACAAAGTTGTTAAAAGATAATTGATTTTCTAATAAGTAAATACCACTTGTTTATAGTTGAATCGTGTTTAGTAAAATAAAAGTCTACACACAGTTGATTGACTAATTAATAAGGTCAATTCAAGAATAGTAAGATACGTGTTGATCGTCTATCGTTATTAAGTAATTCTTAATGCAAGAAAAGGCTCACAACATAATTTGATATCACTTAATCAATGACTAATTATCTTTCAGTATTTCCATGACTTGTTGAAAAGTATTAAAAATCCTTAGATTTCTGTGTTATAAGTAGTTAGTTAGGACATGTAAACTAGTTAGAATCATCATCACACATTTCGACTTCAACATTTCTGATGGTCCTATCAACTTATTGAAGGGTTTTAATATTTACTGTAACAGTATATATACTAAGTATCATGTTAAACGATTCATACGGCTTAAACCACTTGAACTTCTGGGAAATTAAGGTTGTACTAAAATAACTTTGAAGTGGTCCGAACAGGTTTGAATATCTTTTAGCAAAAGCCCCAGAAATTCCTCACGTTTAATGCACTAGTTGTATTTTTAATGAAACTCAAAAGAAAATACCAGTTGATCATGTATTAAGTTCGCCGTTAATTAGTTCGAATTATATGATTTTAGTACAACACAGTATTTGACTACTATATCGAAATGCAAACTAACTTTTTAATTATGAAAATAGGTTAACGATTGCATCGAATTCATATTCACTTCCTAGTCATAACACTATTCATGACTACACAAAAGTTTCTAACAAAATCATTCATAGATAAAAGTACGTACAGACATTAAGTGTACATATGTTTCATAAGTATCAGCTTCTACATTGTCTAGTCTTCAGATTTTCACCATTTTGAATTATGTGTGTAGTAATAACTACTAATAATTTGATGGCCTCTTCAAGGTACTGACTAACTTAGTTTGAAATATGGACAGCAGACAACTTCTCGGAGTTCTGGTGAGAAGCCGTGACCAGTGTAGCTAATCCGTGTCGGGTAGAGACCAGTATCTACCTCGTTATAATGGAAGACGGTCGCGCTATTTCATGGATTGGTTGAGGTTCGACATTAAAACCATTGGATGCCGGCTCAATGGTCCAGTAGGTTAAGGGTTCACGCGCGAGACTGAAGGCCCTTGGTTCGAATCCCATGAGCGGGATCGTGGATGCACACTGCTAAGGTGTCCCACAATAGAACGAAACGGTTGTTCAGTGCTTCCAGGTTTTCAATGGTGGTCTAACATCAATCGGTTCATGATCTCAATCAAAAACCTAGTAATCTCCACAACCTGTATACTGGTAGATAACTTTTGGTTATATCAATAAATAAACATTATTTCATCCACATGTATGTATAATGTGATAAGAATTAAGTAAAAACACTTGTGTTTTTTTTATAACATTTCTCCTGTTATACTTTGCTTAAATAGATTGGTTCAGTTATTAAATTACATCAAGTTATTGATTGTATCTATTACCTATAGTGAGCCTGATGTCAAGTTTTAGTGACTCCAACAAAAGTATATTTGTGTGTTCTATGCATTTTTATTTAACTGACATTTGATTACATCGAAATATGCAGGCTAACTGTATTAATTTTTTGGTCGATAATGCAAGTTGTTCAACAAACAATAAACAATATAAAAACTAGATCATATTCCTTATTGAAGTAAAAACAGAAGATAAGTGAGCATATTTCATCTCTTTTTTTGACATATCATAAAAAAAAGTCAGATTACTTTGGTAAAAGATACTTTGTTTATGAGACACATTATCTAAACATCAACATTATAGTGAAATAATACTGTAAGTTAAGCTGAATTGTTCAGTTTTCTTTTGTTAAATACTTGTTTTCCAATTTTATTTATCTAATACAAACAAAACTAAAGTGGATTCTTGTACAAACGTATGAGAACTTTTCATTTTCTAAGTTATTTATTTGGTTAAAACGAGTTCTATTTCTTTCTGAAAGTGATTGTTTATCTTTGGCTTTTAAATTGCAATTCCTATAGCCTTGAAGTTATCATAAGGTTTTATTAACTACTAACATGCATACGCCCAGGACAAAGTGAATTTGAGAATGCTGATCGGCGGCCTATGCTCCATTGGGAGTAACAGGCGTAAGTAAGTAGTAAGCAAGAGATGCATACGTTTTCTGTATTTTTTCCTCAAATAAATTTAACCGAAAATAACTTAAAAGTAACTTAGTCATAAGTCAGTCAAATGAAAATTAGGACTGGATAAACACATGCGAGACAACTCAAGTTGACACAACAAATTAGCCCAGTTACATAAAATTATCAACACAAAGCTCAAAATAGTAGAAGTAGTAATGTGGTTTAGTTTGTGCTACTGATGTCGACAGATATATATAGTATACATCATCAATAGAAAGTGAAATATCTGATGGTAACAGGTCAAGAAGATCGAAGAAAACATAACGGGAACCGAGAATGGTCGATGTGGAAACAATAAAGTCTAAGACAATTGATTGACATTTTTCAAATGAAGTATTTACTGTATAGTTCTCAGATTTTACTAAGAGATTCTGTAATTTAGTGTCCGAACACATTTGGTTGTGCCCATCCATGTACTCGTTCACGACAGTTATAGTGTCAGCAGTAATCGAAAGATTAACTTTTGTGAAAAGAAAAAAAATGTTTACAGAAGGTGTACGAGATTGTTAACACACTACATATAAATACTTATTTCAGATTGGAAACACAAAGTTAAATGTATCTTCTTTGATTTTTGGTAGCTGGATCTAGAGAAACGTTTTTTATTAACATCTAAAAATAGCTTAACAAACTAATAGTGTATAGATCAGAACATATATGCTCTGAATTTGAAAAAAATGTGAACTTTAACGTATTGTATGTTTTAGTACTGTAATATGTTACGACTATTTAGTAATTACGTTTCATTGCATAAGCATATTTAACTAAAATTTCAATAAATAATATGGTTATTATTCTGTAAAAAGTAATTTACCTAGGTCAGTTCTAACAGATGGATCCACTGTACGTAATAATGTTTTAAACGGTGTGATATATTTACCAGATTCTTGATCTGTTGAAATAGCTTCCATAGGTGTACGAATTTCTTCATAGTTTGATTTTATGTTTTCTCTCTGTTCTAATGCTTTTAAAGGATTTTTTAAATCCCGTGGAGGTTTACGTTTTTCTGGTCTAGCAGCACGTCGTGCATCAGCTATCCTTTAAAAATATAATTGAACATAAATTTGAAACTTCATTGTATGTTTCATTTGTAAATATGGAATATATTTTTCTTAAATATTTAGATATTCAATTCATAGATATATGATTAAGTCTTGTCGTTTTCATCTATTTCTGTATTATAATGAAATGTGTCTGGCGAAAATCTGACATATAGTCAAGGCTAATAGATTAATAATGTAAGCGTAACTCTCTCTTCACTAGTAGTTAATGGTCAACATTTTCCAATCATTCAAAGGTTCAATATACGCTATTAACTGTGATAATAATAATAATAATCAGTAGTTAACAATAAGTGTTATAATAAAACATTATTGATATTTTTGTTAAATATCACAATCTCTTACCTTTCATACACGTTGTTCAAATCTTTATTTGGTTGCGAAGGCAAAGTCGGAAGTTTAACTGATCCAACTGCATTAGTTGTTTCTATAGTCGTTTTACTGGTGAAGAAATCTGTTAATTCTTTATCTTCCATGGTAGGTACGCTAACATTTTTGGATATATGAAATGCCTTAAAAAGTGAAATGACATCATGCTTAAAATATGTTATAGTCATGAAGTAAAACATATAAGTACATAAATTCCAGGTTACTTTATTTGTGTTTAACTTTTCTGTATCATGATTTAAACCGTTTACTTTGATCGAACAGTTTTAAGTTTTGTTCTTATAGTTTCGAGGAAAATTTTCAACAAGTGAACAATGTTCCATATTAGATGAATGATATATTTGTAATATCCCAATGAGTAGAAAAATTGGGTTTTCTGACGTTTCGTGACTTAGTGTAAGCTACTTCTTCAGAGAATAAATAAATCGAAATTAATCCAAGTCTAAATAGTACAACGGAGCAACAAAAATATTATGTGATCAATTAAAAAACAGGTCTGAATAAATCAATGTCATGTCATTTCGGTCAAAGTGATTCATAAGTGAGATGTATGCGAATTCGTGTATATGTAAGTGTGCACTGTTAAGGATAAAAAATGTGTGACCTTTATGGTAAGAAAGGATCGAGTTTAATTTGTTCCGTATTGTTACGGTTTATATTATAGGCTAACATCAACAATTGTACTTGATGATTGAAAGCGAAAATTACTCTCTAAATAAAGTCAATTGATTAGCTAATTCTTGACGTTATTCAGCAGTGAAAATTTGTAACTATCAAAGTGATAAATGGGTTAAGAAGAGAAAATCTCACCTGTCTAATATGTGGGCTTGGCTTCGTTATGGTTGTAGGCTTATTGATGGGATCGCCTGTCGTAAATGATTCTTGATGTTTGAGTTCTTCAAAAAGATAAAATTAACATTTCACGTAAATTCAGATATAGGAATAATATTTACTAGCAATAAGTTTTTCAACATAATGTTTATTGAAGATAAATTATGAAATACAGGTGATAAATATTTCACTGCATGGAGTAGGGTTATTATTAGATCTCATTCGATGTTCTGTATACACTTAAAGAACATTCAAGACAACATAAATGAATATAATGGGGTCAAATCTATAATACAGATCAGGAAACTAACAATAGACAGATCTACTAATGTGCGATCTGGTGTCTTCCTACATGTTAGGTGATTAAATCCAACCTAGATCTTACAATAACTGATACTTATTACCTAGGTATATTTGGGATCTGAACAGAATGAATGCTATCCATCGAGTTCAAACCTGTAGCAAGGCCCAAGATATTATCATTGAGCTATTCAAGGAGTTTTCCATATACTTCAGAAAAATCCTGGTTGCTGTACTAAATTAGTGGGAAATTCCATCAGGCAATACAAAAATATATGTTTGTCTAAGTGACAGAATTAAGTATGTATAGTACAACGTTTATACATTCATATCAAACATCATCAGTTCCAAACATTATTTTATATAGTCTCTTAAATTATAACAGGAAAGAATTAGTTTAAGCCTATAATTTCCACATTTAATGTGATTCCATAAAAGGGACAAATTAATTTGTAATAATATACCATTTCATCAAGTATTGCACGTATTCAGTAATTTGGTCATCGAAAAAATTGAAAATATTTTTATGATTGAGTAAAATCTTCAGCGAATAATTAATTACATAATATAATCAGTAAAGTTTCATATTCACTAATCGTTAACACATTCACTTAATCGTCAGGGTTCCTCTTAAACTTTCCCTAAACAGATTAAAAGTTAATGGAATAAATAAATAAAAATTGTCACATTCTTACTCCTCCTCATTATCATCATTGTAAGATAAATTTAAAGTGAAATTTCAATTATTTGTCAGATGAATTTAATTCGTTCAGATAAACAATATAGCCAGTGTCTCATAAGTGGCTAGTTTCAAATTGTAATAAAGGTAACATAACATTAGTTAATACGAATATTCGTCAATATTCTAACGAATAGTTTGATAAAAATTGAGCGCTGAGTATAGAAAAGTCATTATATGTGACAATTATATTTGAAATAATCTCAGTGATTGAAATTTCAAATAATCCAGACGTTTCGTCCAGCAAACTTGTCTAGACTTCTTCAGAGTAATAATCATAATTATTTAAACGCTATATATTTCTTTGATGATTTTGATTTTGAATATTAACCTGAAGAAGTTCAGACAATTTTTCTGGACGAAACGTTGAAATTATTGCTGAAATGATTTCAAATGATAATATTAGTCAATTAATTAGCATAATCTATTATCGGTCTCCAGAATTAAACATAGCCAATTTTCTTATAAAAGAAATATTTTATAATATCACTTCTATGATCGATTCCTGATGGAATCCTTCTACAGTTACGGCCAATTCAAAACTTAGGTAAAAAGAAGAGGGTTGGGCATGAAGCTTAAAAAAAACCTCTAAATAAGAAAAGTCATTTTAGACGATTCTATGGTCAGTGTATTTATTAGTAATAACAAACTGATAATTTTACAATCTAAAATGGCTTATAAAACTATCAGTTGAAAAATACCAAGTTATTATAACTTCCTTCTTTCAAATTTTACCAAGAATTATAATTTTACAGTACATACCAAATCATCTTATCTAGTTGCTATCGATGTTATCGCCTCAAAAGTATTACTGCTAACTATTTAATTAACAAGCTTTTTACATTGAGAATGGGTTTGTTTGATTAATGTTTAAGTGTTATTAAGCTCTGAAAGATTTACCGCATTTCTTCATCTTGAAGTTAACATGCGAATCAACTAATAAATTAATCTTGTTGTATCATTTGCATTTGAGATTATCACCAAAATGTATCAATCTAGTAAGCACTGTTAGTTTTGAATTTGTGCTGAATTATCATTTTAACTGACTACATCAAGTGATGTCTGCCAAATGTCTATTTCTCATATTTTAATATATATATTTTTATGAATATACTCTCACAAGCAACTTTTGACTAGTTTCACATCTGTAAGCTTCTATTATTTTGAGACTCTCTAGTCTCCTGGTGTATGTTCACGATCAAATTTGCCTCATTGTTTTTCCCTATGTGTTTGTTCAATCATCTCATATATATTGACTGAAAATGCGACAGTGTTGACTGGATATAAATTCACTGTTCAAGTTTATCTTTCATCTAATAACAAGAGAGATTCTCTAAAAAAATCTTTCTACTTATTATTACCAAGATTATTTCAATACTTTATAAGAATAACTATTAATGTTATAGATGTAAGTTGTTTTGATCATTGTGTAGGTAATATATTGTATCGTAAGAAGATATAAACATTTAGACACAAAAACTCAGGTCTTCCAGTTAATAATCGCAAATAATTTTAAAATTAATAAGCAATTCGATAACTTTGCAATTTAATTAGGACACTCATCAGCTACTTCCAAATAACTGCATGACTTTAAGTAGAATGTAATTTTTATTAGAAAAAAGAACTTAAAACCGCATAATTGATAATAATTACAGTTTCACTTTACGAAAATGTCATTAAAACATTATAATGAGTACGAATAACTGCGATAAATTACCATATAGGTACTTAGACAAATATATATTTTCTGAAGGCGGGATCGTGGATGCTCATTGCTGAGGAGTCTCGTATTAGGCCGAAACAGCCATCCAGTGCTTTCAGGTTTTCTATGGTGGTCTAGCTTCAATTGACTCATGATTTCAACTAGTGAAATATATATATTTAACAATTCTCCTTTTTATGAAGAACATAAATCATAGTAAAATACATTAAATTCACTCAGTTTTTGTGTACACTAAACTAGCCCTAAATATCCATAAATTTTATGGATAAGTTGTGCTCATTAGTGGCTGATTTTAAAAATACGTTACGAAATTCTAGACAGAAGTCGTATTTGACTGAGTTCAACCACGACTGAGATAAAAAAGACATCACCAATAAAATTTGACAACGGTTGAGTGATATATCTAAATTATGGCTTAAATTGAAAAGATAAACTATTAGATTATGCATTAGTAATTTGTTATTACTAATAATAAGACTTAAAACCACTTATTCAATTCTTTAGAGAGACAGGTTTGAAAATATAGCAAAACTGGAACAATATTCTTTTAATGGCTCACTAGTTGATACCAGTTTGTGTACACTTGTACTTCATCTGATCGAGATAATTATGAATCCTTTTCACAACCAAACAAGTTTGATTTATCAAAATATTTTTTTTGTTGGAAACGATCATGACGTCATAAAACACTAATTTGTGTTACTATGTTAGTTAAAAATATAGAAATTTGTAATAATTAGCAGAAAATACAGACGTGAAGTAATCATAATGATTATAATAAATATTGTTAACAGCTTTCATGTATGTGTTTTATGGCTGATAGCATCCCGAATTCATTGGCTTATCCTAGTTCTATTTCATAATAACATTCTAATAACTGTAAAAAGTGTTTATTTAGCTTCATCAATAAACTGAATTCATTTATACACTTTCCTCCCATAAACTATTTTTACTAAACATCTAATTTATAAAGTTATTAGAAGACGCCAAACGGAGTGATTTCACTTGATCCTACGATAATTATTTACTTTTGAAAAATTTGATTCTAGGAACTAACCGTATGAAAATTACAGACCGGATTCATGAATTACAACTTTAGTTATCTGTTTCAAAACGTCTGTTTTTTAATTATTTAAAGAATTTCGCCTTGTAATTGAGTTTAATGTTTTAATATGTAACACTATTGAATAGTTCACCTAACAACTACCTAGTGAAAGTATATATTGTCGGAACTAAAAGAATAAGATTAAGTTAAAAAGTTTACTATTCCATACAATTGTACTGAGTTTAACTGTGGCCTCTGGAAAAACTCAATCTTTGTATTTAAAAGGTAAAGTTTTCTTATACATATCAGCACAAATCAATAACGTTTGTCATTACAATGTAATAAATTACTTGAGATGTTCCAGTAGGACCGATTCATAACGAATAAAGGTATCTTGTTCTTTGAATAAATATCAAATAATTGAACAATTTCTCATTTACAACTAGCTGATACTACTCAGAGAGTAAACAACAGTTAATTCCATTTAAGAATTAGTAATATATTACACTACTTACTAAAACTGGTAGAATTCAAAATTCTAGCATGAGTATCAAAGTCAAAAACACAAAAATCTGGTTCATTTTTCCTTACTTCTTATTAAACTGTAAGTTAAATGGGTTATAAACATAATTATTTAAGATTTCAGGTTTCACCAACACCAACAATATCAAGTTGTTATTACAATAAGTCACGTTCTATTTCTAACTGACAGCTTTATTGCATTAATTAATTCGTAAATTATTTTATTATTTCATTAGTAAATAAAAAAATATCATTTACCTGGACGATTTTCTTTACTAGTATTGCGTATTATTGGTTCAACTGGTAGACATTTCGATGTGTTTATTGTTAGATCTTGTGAATGAAGACATTTCGATGGAAGAGGTTCTAGACTAGTATAGTCATTTGCTACAAGGACAGAAGAATAAAATCTGAGATTATAGTTAAACGTTTTAGTAATTGTAATATTGATCTATAAAGAAGTTAGACGATGAAAGGTGAATAGATATAAACTGTTTAAACTTAGCTCCCTAATTAGTTTATACTCAGCAGCGAAATTCATGAAAAACATTGCGTAAACTATCTAAAAATTACTTTTGATCAAAATTTTCAGTATATTTGGATTGTGAGATGCAAAGGAATCCAAGTTATATTTTTCGTCTTATTGTAGACTTCTCAATTTAATGTAAATGCTTCCTAGTGTTGATCGTCACAACGACACTCGAACCCGGTATCTGTCACATCAGATACCAATGCACTAGTAGCAACAGATATTAGGAGCGAGTCTTAGTAAGTACAATCAACTGATGAGTCTTGGATTTCACTGCTGGTCATAATCCGATTCCATTGAAACTACAAATTAATTTAAATATATAATCAACAGTATGAACATCCTTTTTCATAAATAATTATATTCTCTACATCTTCTAATTAACATTTAAGTTATCGATCTGAAATTCTAAAGTTCATTGATCATAATCAGAATGGTGTTTTTTGTGTAGATTGTAATAATTTCATTAGTTAAATTCATGAGTTGATGTAATGTAGACCACCATTGAAAATCTTGAAGCATTGGATGACATTTCATAGTTAAGCACTCACTTCTAAACTGCTGATCATTTTTTTTGTTAAAAATATCCCAACAAATAGGAAGAATAGATATCACAAAATTGAATATTTATATCATTCTAAAAACAGATACATTTCCTTATATTGAAATATACGTATATATATCTAACATGTTTAGTAAAGATATAACGGGAAATCTTAATTTATTGTGAATTAATTTTGCATTCTGTAAGGACGCTCCACAGGTGGACACGACAAAACTCAAAAAAGCTCCGAAAGACCCGGAAACACTCCATTCGATCACATTTTGAAAAAATACTTCAGAATCTCTACGTATATCTTCCCTACTGGACAAATGCTAAAGATACCTGTATGCGAACTGGATGAGCATAATGATGATTTCGTTTTTACTATAAATACGAATAATACCTGAGAGGTTTGTACCATATTGAACACTATTTGGAATAACATTCTTTCCATTTATCTTCTGTCTTCTCATTTGAAACTTGGAGGGTTCTAGTGTTCGAGTGCTCAAGTCGTACGCGTTATATCAAGAGTCTAACCTCTATATGTAATACACTGAATCACAAATAAATTGTCTCTAACCACCATCGTTACAAATATGGTCGAAAAAACCTGTAATCTTTGAATATAAATTATTATGGTCATAAATATCATACAATCTAATTATTTTTTGACAGCATTAATAATTCATGAATATCTAAAAAAACTACAAGGCCTCGATTAAAATATCTTACATTTCAGTAGTTTTCACACAATTAAATATGGTATCAACTGACTTTTGTACGGAATTAATCAAATAAAGGTTATGAATTACATTCATATAATACATAGCTAAAGAGCAACCCAAGATCTTAGAAAAGTTTTTAAAGTATCTTATAATACTGTGTTACATTGTATCCCAAAAACACTAATGTAACCATAATTATTTAACTGTGAATAAATTCAGACACTTTTAGGTTGAGATTGATGTTAGGCCACAATTGAAAACCTGGAAGCGCTGGAATTCTCGAAGTTTTAGTGAGAAGCCGTGACCAGTGTAAGTAATCCGTGCCGGGTAGAGACAGGTATCCACCTCCTTAAAATGGAAGATGATCGCGCAACCTGATGGACTGGTTGAGTTTAGACATTAAAACCACTGGATGCCGGCTCAGTGATCCAGTAGGTTAAGAGTTCACGCGCGAGACTGAAGGCCCTTGGTTCGAATCTCGCGAATGGCGGGATCGTGTACGCGCACCGCTGAGGTTGTTCAGTGCTTTCAGGTTATCAATGGTGGTCTAACATCAATCGGTTCATGATCTCAATCAAAAACTTAATATTTTCCACAACCCCTATTCAGACACTTTTATTTGTTAGATCCATAACGTTTATATTAAAATTGATGACAGTCGTTTTAATATTAATTCTCATATAAGCTAAAAATATCATTTAAAAGTTAACTAACTCAAGAATGTAAAGTTTTGAAATAATTCAATTATTATTCTTTGAAAAAGTGCACTGAACACTTTGTTTCAACATTAGTCAACTCAACTACTTAACTGTAAAGAGATTTTTTCTAAGAGTAGTATGTCATAAATTATTAGAAAGACTTCAACTTGATATCTTTCAAATAATTTATTTCTAATTGACTGTTATCATTTTAATTTTAACATAAGTATTTGAATATGTTACATTGTTATGTGAACCGGGTTGAGAGTTAATAAAATAGATTTGAAGTCAATTATTTATGAATGGAATAATAAGCAAAGTTAAGAATGTCCTATAGTTAGTCACTTGCTTCAATCTAATTGATTTAGTCACTGTTATATATGTGTATATTTCACTTCTAAATTTGAATATTCAACGTATTAATTGCGTATTTTACTAAGAAGTAATGAATCAATAATAACATACTATTTGTGTGCTTATAAAACCAGTGATTCAGTATGCATGTAAATATGCAAACTAACTTTCTAATCTCTCAACAAAATTTAAGAATTAATCATATCAGTTGTAATTTTAATAACAATATCAAAATCAGAATCTTCTATACGAACGTCAAGATAGTTTTACTGTACGGAGCTAAAACTTGGAGAACTACCACAACCATCAACAAAAAGGTACAAGTATTTATAGACAATTGTCTAAGTAAGATACTGAATGTTCGTTGGCCTGATACCATCAGCACAAGTCTACTATATGAGAGAACAAACTAGCTCTCAGATGAAGAGGAAACAACTGGAAAGGATTGTTCAGGTCAGAGTTTTATGAAGAATTCTGATGGGCGGCATATGCTCCTCCGTGAGGGGTAATAGGTGCAAGTAAGTAAGTAAGTAATTTTAATATGAATAAACCACAACAAATTTAGGAATGCAAATCAGAAATACTGGAAATGAATGCAATGGAAAGAGAACTCTTAGCTGAAACCATCTTTATTATTTAATGTATCAATGGGTGTATTCCGTTTACTAAGAAATATTCGTCACAGGACAGTTTGTAAACTTTTATCAATCAAATACCAAGGCAATTTATTTATAAATGAGCCAATTAACCCATCTAATGCAGTTATGACCTTAGGATGAAAATCATTTATGTTTATTATATGGTCAGTAATTTCTCTTTAGATCACATGTAGGACACGCCCATTTGACTCATTTAAATCACTTCAACAACACATTATACATTATTCATCATGAAAATTTAGAAAATAAATGAGTTGGAAATATCTTGCTGACCTTATGTTTATTTTTATAAAAAAACGTTCATAAAGCACATTGGTCATATTAGTAGATACTTTTATTTGAAATTTAAAATAATTTCTTTACAACTGATTGATCACTAGATAGTGACCAATCTAATGAACATCATGTCGTTCTTAGTGTTGATCGGATTTTATTGATCAAGTTGTGATATGGCCGTTAGTCTAAGTGACTTGACATCGCGTGCACCACATAGAGATTATTATTATTATTATTATTATTATTATTATTATTATTAATGGCTTTATTCAATATTATAGTTTTGGTACAATATAGAATTCTCAGCACAAAGTGCTGGTTAGAGGTAGTTAACAGGAAACGCTGAACCTGAGTTTTGTTCTATTTGGCAATTGTCTGCAAGATAATCTTGAGAAAACTGATGCTGTTTGATGGATTTAACTCGTGTCACACATCTTCACAGTCAGAGATGTTACCACTGATTTCAAACCACCTAGACCATTAGGTTCACTGTGACCTAATAAATAGATTTCGATCAGCGCAAAGAACTTGGCATACATGACATCAGTCAATGATCAATGATCGGTCAATTGCATCTCAGTTTTAAATGTCAGTCGTCTCCCGAATACATCAGTAGTGCCGTTTCTGACTGTGAAGCTAGGTGATACGGGTTTGATTCATCATAAGAGCACCAATTCTCTCAAGATTACAGGTACATATTGCAGACGATTGCCAAATAGAAAAAACTCAGATTCGGGATTTCCTATAGACTACCTTCAACCATCATATGATAATTCCTTAACCTAACAATATCTGGTTGAACGTGAACGCAAAACAGCTCCATAACCGAACTTCCTAATAGTTTGAATCCCTGAACAGCAACGGATATCTACAATTTCCAGGGGATCAATATTTGGTGTTACTAATTCAAATACATAACTAATTGACTAAACTTAAATATATGGTTCTATTTATCGTATGATTATTATGTATTGTATTATTCTATTAAAATTTATTCATTTTTAAGAGCAAAATTTGAATACAGAATAAAATAGATCACATTGTATTACACCCACTAACTTTTTTTATTTCGTTCAAATATTGGAAAATCATAATCATTTTTATAATCAACACGTTGTTTCCAAGATTCTTGTTTCTCAACTAATGATAATCGAATTTTATTGATATCACATGATCTATCTAAATTGGGTTCTTCTTTTTCAACACGCTCTCTCCAATTTGAACTATTCTGTCGAATACAAGCAATCCTATTTAAATGGTTAGAAGAATAGGAAAGATTTTTAAAAAAAAATGTATCGTCAATATTATGGTTTTTACACAAAATCATAATGTATTAGGTAAATTTAGAAAACTATATTATGATGTTTACTGATATAATAATAAGAAACTATCTTTCTTTGAAGGTCATTGTCAAATTGCTAATATTGTTATTCTCTACATTTATACAATAGATTGGTTAACCGATATTTACATTCATATTCAATATTTCATAAACAGAATAGCATCATATTGTCTAGTTGAAAATAACTATGAAACAGACAATCACACGTATTTACCAACTAAATCAGTTTCTATTATTGTACAGATAGTTTATAGATGATATGAAGAAAGTTAATTGTATAAAATAGTTTTGATGATTACTTGTAAATAATGTTCCATCACAAAGTTAGTGAAATTCATATGGGCTGAATTGAAATAGAAGGGGGACATTTTCAGGCATCCAGAGTGTTTAGACAAAATGAATTAAGGTAAATGTTTAATTATTTTTGAATGTATTGAAAGGAAGAAACTCTGCTTTTCACATGGTGCTTGATAACCGAGTAAATTAGTTTGTTAGTGTTTGGGTTCCATAAAGTCTTTACACTTTTATAACTATTTGATTCGGTTGTTAGACTTCTAAGAACCTGCACAAATAAGTTGTAAATCGTTCCAACATTTAAAAAAAGTGACGATTATCGAAAATGACAATTATACATATAATACCCTTGAAAATCTCTCGACATAATTCATTGTTAACTGATCTAAATTTTTAAATGTAGTCAATTTTTTGATTTGCAATGCTATAGGTTGACAAACTTAAATGAAAAACAAAAAGTGTCAGATACTTAATAGTTTCCACTAGCTCTTCATCTGATATCAGTACATGGTAGAAAATTAGCTACGCATTAAACAATGTTTTCAAACGCTTAGTTTATTCAGGAAAAATCTATTAGAAACTGAATATATCAAAACTGACTAGAATGGACTATATTTACATGCTTTGAATTCAGTAAACGAATTGCATGTAATCAGACAATATTTAACTTGTTTATACACGTGCTAAGGAAAATAAAACAACAACAATATAAGTATCTATAGTCGAACAAGTATGTCATGTTGAAAATCAGACTGATGACCTAATCGAAAACATGTCACTTTATAAGAGATATGTGGACGATATCTTAGTTGTCTGTGAGAGAAAAGAGGATATGTACTGTTTATTAAATAAACTTAACACTCTCCAAAACCACATCAGTCTCTCATGTGAAGAGGAGAATAACGATCAGCTTCGCTTCCTAGATATACTCCTGAGTAGACGAGATGGTTCAGTAAAGCGATCTATTTTTAGAAAACCAACGTGGATAGGTCAATACCTTACTTATTATAGTTATTGCCCTGTGCAATACAATCGTGGTTTGATAAGGTGTCTTTTCAACAGGCTCGATCGTATTTGTACAAATGACGCCATTGATGAAGATGTTAAGTTGCTGAATAAAACTAATAGAAAATGGCTATCCTCTGAAATGCATAAATAGATGGAAAGTCCATGGTACAGTGAGACCTATTGTAGCCTCGGTAGAGTAAAAGCCTATCTACATCACCTTGCCGTTCAGTGGTGATTCAAATAGCCTTTTATTGAAACAAAGACTTAAATCAGTCATCAATAAAACCTATTGCACAGCAAAGCTCATTACCAAAGAAAGAACAAGGTACATGCTTCATCCAAAACTTAAAAGACATGAAAAAGATTGTGTCACATCCTACTGTGTTTACCAATTTCAATGTATATGTGGTCACACATACATAGGGAGGAGCAATCGTGATCATAACATTAAGATGAGTGAACATGTACCCAAATGATTGCAGAAACAAATACAATCAAATGACTCAATAAGAGCAGAGAATAAACATCCATCATCTTTTTATTGCTAAACATATAATTGAAACAGGTCATAAGATTGATTTACAATACATCAATGTCAATAACTTAATATTGTATAACAACATAGAAATATTATTTAAAAAATTATTATTACCTTTCTCTAATTGACATTTGTGGATAACTCTCTTCACTTTTATTTTCTTTTTGAATAATATTACTATTATTATTCAATATGTTATTTTCGACTTGTTTATTATTTTTATGTAAATTAAATGAATAATTAATTGTTCTAGGTAATTTCCCGGAAAATGATTGATTTTGAATTTTTATTTGATTACCCTCTTGTAAACCACTTTGTTCTAATGAATTTATGGGCCTAAATTCAAAATTAATTGAACCAAAAAAAAATTTGTTAGTGAATAAAAGTTTAAATGAAATATGTTCAATGTTGATTCTACAAAGAAGATACCTGATTGGTTTGTAGTTAATCTATAACTTTAAATGTGATTAGTTATTTTCAAATGACCTTCGTATTAACCAATCATTTGTATGTATATGTATTGTGCAAATTGTTATAAGCAAATTTATGATAATGATATTTTAAAGCACAATTGAAATATAATGTCCAATAAAGGCTACTGAATATTACGATACAAGTTGTATCTAAACCAGACAATTATCATAATGACAAAATGTTTGTTGATACTTGTCATATGATATGGCTTATATAGTTGAATATGTCATGATAGGTATGCAGAGAAGTTACAAACAAAGAATATACATTACATCTAATTATAGTGAATAGTTTAACTGAATTCATAAATTCTAATCAAAATTATACATATTGTACAGTTTAGTTAGTTTATAAAATGAACATAAGCTATTTTAATGCACTGAAGTTTAGTATGATATTCAGTCAGTGTTAGACATAGTGTTGTTGAACTTAAAAACTGAATGAAAGATTATCTACTAATTGACGATTTTTTAGTTTGTTTTGAAGTACCTTTATCATATCTGGTCTTTTTCTTTAGATGAATATATATGGGTTTTATGGAGAATTTACGAAATTTCACAGGTTTTTAAGTCATGAGTCAGTTGAAGCTAGACCACCATTGAAAACCTGGAAGCACTGGACGGCCGTTTGGATTGGTTGAAGTTAGACATTAACACCGTTGGATACCGGCTCAGTGGTCTAATGGTTAAGTGCGGGATCGTGGATGCGCACTGCTGAGGAGTCCCATACCAGGACGAAACGGCCGTCCAGTGCTTCCAGGTTTTCAATGGTGGTCTAGCTTCAACTGACTCATGATTTAAAAACCTGTGAAATATATATATATATATATATATATATATATATATATATTGTGAATTATATTTAAGAGCAGTTTTCGACGTCTATCCAGTCACATACACCTGAATTTGTAACATGAAAATGTCTTCAAACAGAAATGTTTCACTACCCATATAATAAATAATACGAATGATTAACATTACTCACTATTTTTTTGATAGCTGAATGTCATTGGTAACAGAGACACTAGTCACATCACTAACCAAGAGTTTTTTGTTGGATAGTTTCTAACAGTGGGATTGAGTACACACGTTTCATACTGTTTGAGACTCATTAAGTTAATATACCTGAATCCCAGCATTAATGTTTACAGCGAAATTCGCATCGACTAGATCTTAATTCAAACGCTTAACGGAGTATCGACTAATCCACTGAGTCCATACATTCTCTAGATTGTATATCCGGAATCAGAGTCGTAAACAGGATGCATATACTAGACTGCACGAACAGCTTCTATTCAAGTCTAGAAAAACTTGCAATTAAAGACGATTTTTAAGGCATCTTTTTTTCAGGATGCCCGAATACCGAAAAAGACTGATCAATAGCAGCTCGTGATACCAACAACAGGATAACACAAACACGTATAAACAGCTAGTTAATGAATTGGAAAATATGAACTCAGAGAAAAACAAAAACATACATGCTTTATTCAACTTTAATAGAGCAGAAAGGTGATATGAAAATATGGGAATCTTGTAAAGAATATTGAACACTACCTCTTTTCTAAAGAAGTCTCATGCAATCTACGTTTTGGTGGACTAACCTAGTGTGAATTCAAACACTAGTTGGAAATATCTCGAAGTGTGATACTGAAGAGGTTTTTATGAGATAATATCAATTCAATAATCATAAACTTACACCCTTACCCTATTTCCGAAATTACAATCTGATCCTGTCAATGTTCCTATACAAAGCATGTGGCTGACTTACGAATGGTTCATAATTGTTCGCTCACTGGTGAATTCACTAAAGTTTGAATGTAGTAAAACTTCAAAACCATCTTATTTGAATTAAAATATTATAAGATTAATAAATAACAATTTACACTCACTCATACTTTACAGTCATACGTAGTGACGAAGCTAACGTTGAATTTCTAAAAGAGATGTATACTGCCAGATTGTTTCGAACTTTGTGGTTAAAAGGGTTTTGGAAATGTTGTCATATACACATTGTACAACACGATACATATTTAACTGATTCAAACCCAGATTTCAAAATCAAACAACTGTTTGCTAATGTTCTACCTTATATGAATAAGAAATGACGATCAATATGACCACATTTTCAACGGTTATTTAAATTTTAGTAGTAGTATTACTACTTACTCGTGCAATTCCAGAATATTGCGGTTTATCATACGCAATGTGTCTTAAAACGTTATACCTCTTTTTTATGTGTTTTCGCTGAATAAGAAATGATCACGTTTTGATGTGTAGGATACTAAGAAATGACTTTGAATTTGATATATCCTCTTTCATGCTTCCAGGTAAATCAGGAAAACGTAGAGAATCTGACAAGTTCACCTTGGCACACAGGAAGAGATGTTTTTACTTTTACTTTTAACTGACTTATTCGACTTTCCTAGTGGTTCACTAAAAAAAGACTAACACAAACTGTCAGCCGTTTTTCCTCAATAAATCATAGTTATTTTTATTAACCAATGAGATGACGTTTCTTAATCAAATAATGTTCTTGACACATAAAACCGTTATTATTATTCAATAATTTCTATTTTATTTACCTGTTGTTATTACCAGTATTATTATTATTAGTTATAATATGTGGCTTATTTCGTTCTTCTGAATTTTTATACAATAAATTTACAAGATGATTTATTTTAGATGATTTTCTTGCTGATATTTCTCTGTTTAATTCTGGTGTAAATGGTCCATAATTATCACTAGTATGATTATGTTTACAACTATTACTACGATAGATATTCTTTGAATATTCATTTTTATCATAGTTATAAATATTTTTGTCCGATGAATAAAGTTCATATTTATCATGATGTGAATCTAAACGGAATGATTTAAATGAATTGTTCAATTTGTTATTATATCCTTCTTGTCTTTGTTTGTTAGGGAATTCATTATTTGACTTGATCATTGATTTCATATAATTTTCACATCTACCATATTTATTACTATAACAATTATTTTGATTAATCAAAGACCTGTTATAGAAATCATTATAAGCATCTTTGGACTCATCTGTAGTCATGCTGAAATTAGTATAAAAATATTTTGATTTATTCAAACAAATTACAGAGGATGGATTTGGTTTGTTATGTCTATTCTCCATTTTTTTTGTAAATATTTATCCAGAAAAATCAATAATTTGTATTATATTTCTGAAGCCGTAAACACAAAGATAATCCTTCACATGCACATGCAATAGAAAAAAAAATATTTGAAGATTTTAATAATTATTTTCAAGTTTACTCAATTAATGATGAATTTTCGTTGTATTTACCTGAAGAAGATTACAATTATGATATATTGACATAATGATAATGATAACTTACTTATTAAACTGGCTTCCGGAGTTGACAATTGTGAATCATACTCATGGAAGCCGAATGAATCTTGTTCATCTCCTTTCACACTACCGAAAGGTGATTCTAAAATTAAAAAAGTATAATTATGAAAAACGTTTACTTTAGCTAACAGTTTAGAAATAAATATGTCATGTGGAATTAAGTAAACTTGATATTTCCTTTAGGATTCAGTAGATATCATTGCATACTACTGTTGCATAATAAGTAACATATAAAATTATTTAAAATTACAGAGTGATTTGAATAAGTAACAATCACAAGTAGACCATTCTGCTCACTTTAAATTTGCAGTATTCCGGATAATAAACTGGTATTACCAGTAGAGGTTTAAGGTGAGAACAAACTGCTTTTGAATACATAAAGAGGGTTTGAATTTTCATTTGGCTAAGGCTTCAATGAATCACAGTATACGCCCTCTAAGACTTTTGAGAAACACCACAGAAGCCAAGTTAAAATCAATTTAATGATCTGTTTCAAGTATGCGTTTGGCAATGGAGGAAGTTGGATGTTTATTATCTGCTTTTATTGAGTCATTTGATTTTATTTGTTTGAACTGATGACGATAAAACTTTAGACTACTAGAATCCAGAGGATAGAAGCTTTACGCTACTAAACTTTTAAAAGAACTTTTAATTATTCTACCTTGCGTTTGTAATGAAAATGATAAAATAAAATCTTCAAGTTCACAAAGAAAAACAAAGTAATCATTTCATATAATTTTAGTACAATAAAATTTAACTACTAACAAGTAGTTACAAACGGATGATCAAAAATGCTTTGTCGGATATTAGTTATTTCACCTAACTTAGTAAATAGATTAAGACCGTTTCTTAAACTCGGGATATGAGAACTTTAGGCAGCTATCAACAATTTTCTAAGTTTCAAAATTTGAGTGTTTCGTTATCAAGTCTCAACTTGAAGCATACAATGTTGGAGATTGTTTTGATTTAATTATTCACAATATACAGTACTTTCTAGAATTTATTTATTCGTCAGAAGAGATATTAAATGAAAAATAACAAGACACAAAGTGTTGTAAAACAATGGATTCTGAGTAAAAGAAGCTTATCAGTTGAAATCTCAACTTGTCATGAAATCGGGTTGACAATTTGACCTAAATTTTCTATACAAACTGATATCATCAAGAAAATCTTTGAAAACAAGTAATCATTAATCAATGGTTTTATGGAAATTATTTCACATGTAGAAAATTACACAAAAAAAGACTGGCCAACTTCAAAAGATTATGATAAACATGATACCTCTGATTCAAGAATAACATTGATATAAATATACTTCACAGATAATTATTTTTGATACAGAACTACACACAATATATTATATAATACAGAATTCACTTTCGAAAATAGCAAATTATTGATCATAAGGTCATTACACTCAGAGTATATTATGTTAGTCCATAAGTGACATTGAATGCACAGTTACTTTGTTTGAAGGTTAAAGGCGTGAAAATAAGCAGGAATGTATGTACTTCTAACTGTTCAAGTTGGCTTACTTATAAATGGCATTACTGTAAATTATTAATTGATGTAATAGCTTAAATGTTATATAAATCAAATATCACAAAGCACAGAAAATAATGAAGAAGTTTTAATTGCTGATAACAACATAATAATAATAATAATATTGACAATGATGATGATGATGATGATGATGATGATGATGATGATGATGATGATGATGATGATGATGATGATGATGATGATGATGATGATGATGATGATGATGATGATGATGATGATGATGATGATGATGATGATGATGATGATGATGATGATGATGATGATGATGATGATGATGATGATGATGATGATGATGATGATGATGATGATGATGATGATGATGATGATGATGATGATGATGATGATGATGATGATGATGATGATGATGATGATGATGATGATGATGATGATGATGATGATGATGATGATGATGATGATGATGATGATGATGATGATGATGATGATGATGATGATGATGATGATGATGATGATGATGATGATGATGATGATGATGATGATGATGATGATGATGATGATGATGATGATGATGATGATGATGATGATGATGATGATGATGATGATGATGATGATGATGATGATGATGATGATGATGATGATGATGATGATGATGATGATGATGATGATGATGATGATGATGATGATGATGATGATGATGATGATGATGATGATGATGATGATGATGATGATGATGATGATGATGATGATGATGATGATGATGATGATGATGATGATGATGATGATGATGATGATGATGATGATGATGATGATGATGATGATGATGATGATGATGATGATGATGATGATGATGATGATGATGATGATGATGATGATGATGATGATGATGATGATGATGATGATGATGATGATGATGATGATGATGATGATGATGATGATGATGATGATGATGATGATGATGATGATGATGATGATGATGATGATGATGATGATGATGATGATGATGATGATGATGATGATGATGATGATGATGATGATGATGATGATGATGATGATGATGATGATGATGATGATGATGATGATGATGATGATGATGATGATGATGATGATGATGATGATGATGATGATGATGATGATGATGATGATGATGATGATGATGATGATGATGATGATGATGATGATGATGATGATGATGATGATGATGATGATGATGATGATGATGATGATGATGATGATGATGATGATGATGATGATGATGATGATGATGATGATGATGATGATGATGATGATGATGATGATGATGATGATGATGATGATGATGATGATGATGATGATGATGATGATGATGATGATGATGATGATGATGATGATGATGATGATGATGATGATGATAGAATCATGTAATAACTGTTACTATTTATCGTTATGAAGTGTATAATAAATGATTTATACTTTAATTTTCTTATATAAATATAAGTAAGAAATTTCCTAAGATTTTCTATATTCACACCTGATATTAATGCACAAGTTCTTGCACTTTCACACTTATTTACACTGTTCTTCTATGAAACCACGAAATCATGACTAATTTTCATCAATTAATAAAATACTGAAAATTATACATAGAAGACGTACAGATTTCTTGAAGAAAATAACCTTTGACTATGGAACCTTTATTACTGGATACTTGAATGCATCAATTCATAAATAAGGATCATAGATACATTAATATTATCACTTTTACTTGGAATTTTTTTTCTTGAATGTAAATGTGATTTAGTTATCAACTTAATTAAAGTTTAGAAAAACGTTATGATTTTCTTGAATGTATGCGCACAACGCTAAATGTATCGAATCAAATGCGTAATAAGCTCATCCATTCATTTTCAGATGTTCAGGAAGAGTACAAAAACATTGATTTTCAGGTATTTTTCTTACTATTTTGTTTGTGAATATTGCATATAATAGTGAAATTTTCATGGGAGATTTTATTTGAAGACCCAATTTTCACGATATTTGTGTGCTTTTTCCAGTATGTTAGACTGCTCCATACAGAGATGTTTAAAGTGAACAGATTTGGATAGATTTAGATTTTTGGAAAACACTTACAATGTAAATTATAGTCTTGTATCTAAAAATCACCCACTAAGTGAACTGAAGAATTATTTATTAAACAGTGTAAATTAGATGGATAACCTCCCGCTGATCATAGAAGTTTCTATAACTTCATTTAATTGAATTATATTTCGCTATAAACTAATTTTAAATGTTCAAACTATCTTAATACTTAATGTTTTGTGAATATTCAAGTAATTATCCCTACTTATTTTCTAGTCGAACATTTTATGAAGCTGCTGAATTTTTCCTAGTATACCCATAACTGAGAATCATTAATAGTAATCAAGAGTACATATTGCTTAAATTGATTCGACTGAATTAAAAACAAATCTACATACAAGCGTAGATACTATTATAAAATTTATAAAGATTGTTGCTTAACGAAAAATAAATATAAAGGTTATCAACAAAAACAGCTTGAATAAGTGGTATAAATGAACGCAAGGAATATACCGGTACAAAAACATAAATCAACTGACTCTGATTATTATTATAAGATAGCTGCTTGGATATTCGGATAATGTATATCATTTGAACTTATATGACAATTAAATTATTTGTTTCATATTAAATTAGTTTGCAGATTTAATTTATAGTTGGAAAATTTGATATGAACAAATTCATCTGAAGCCAAAAAGAATAGTTATTGATGTTAAATGCAGAAACTAGATAGATCGCTTTTTAGAGTGATTAAACAATAGCTTGTTTTTTTTTATTGGAAAAACCCATCGATGATGTTACAATGTAGCTACCATTCTATATAACTTGATGTTGTATTCACAATGTTTAACTAATAGATGGTTGAAAGCCATCATCACGATGCCCTAGAACTAGGTCTCGTGCAATTTAGAGATTCTTATCAAATAATATCTGTAATAATAAAGCAACTGATGGCTCACATTAGATCATCCATATGTCATTTAAACGTTTATGTACTATATTATTTTTGCTAGAGCACATATAATCATATTGTATAAGGAGATAATATTAGCAAAAAATACCATTTGTTATTAGAAGCGGTAATATTAACTAATCTATGCATCGATTCAGTTATTTAATCAACTAAATAAATTTGTAGAAAACAATGGTATTAAACTAGTATGGAAATAACGTAGTAACTGCAAATT